ATATAGTTTATATAAAATTTTATATATTATTTTCTTAGATATGTGGTCATGCAGTGAATTCCCATTCCTAGTGTTGACAATCATTTTTCAGTTAATTTACCGTTACAAAATAAATACAGTTATTTATAATAAATTCTTGAAATAATCTACCACATAAAACATGTATGCCGCATTAAAATATTGTATATATAGTAACCTACTAATACAATATAAAATTTTAGTATTAATTCAGGCCTTAGGCCAACTCCAACGGTGATATGTTAGTAAGTATATTAACATTACAAAATAGAAAATATTAAAAAAACGAAATGAAAAGATATGAGTATCAGATAGTATGGATGTAGAGGTATTTTGCTCTTAATATTAAAACCCCATTCCATTATGTGACGTTTACTGATTGGTTAGCTTATGTTTGTAGATAAAATTATTAATTTATTGTAGTTTAAGATACTCAAAACAAATTTTAACCGTCGAGGTTGTCTTTAGAATAGCTATCACCTTCCGCTGAGAGGAAATCTAAACATTTCTCTCGCTTGACCTATTATCCATTTCATGAGCATCTAAAAACTGATAGAAAGTTCTTTTTCTTCTAATGTTTCAAAATTTTACTCAATTTTTTTTTAATCTCGATAACACATATCTAGTTTAGAGCTGTAGAAGAAACGGAAAGGGAAAAGAAGATGAAATCTTATACGATTTGTAAAGAAGTTCTCATGGCTATCTTCGATGACGGTATTTTCTAATTTAAGTAATATGTTTCTTCATCTTTGAAACCGATCTATCCTCAGTTGAAAAACAATTTTTTGACGATTGTTGATTCTCTTACTTTTATCGATAGTTTCGTACTTATTTTGACTTCTCATATATGGAAAATTAGGATATTTTCTTAGTTTCTATACACCGACTTATTTTATTAAAAAAAAATCGATTATTCCAAAGATGTATATCTTGAATCTATTTCTGAGGTTGCAATCAATCGCTTAAGATGGCTATAGTTGTTTTCCGATTGGATTGTGATATGTTTTGGAAGTGTATCTATTTCTAATTTTTGCAATCCATTAATACATTATTGGAAAAACATTAACAAGAAAATATTTATGTGAAATCGTCACAGAGTTTTAAGCAAAAATACTAATGGGAAAATCTTTGTTTTCTTTTGCGATTGGTTTAGAAGAATATCAAGGCACAATTTTAAAAAAAATGAATAAGATACAAAATATTTGTTTTAAGATGATAGCCTATTTAACACTCTCATACAATAATTGAGTTTGTAATGTAATATAAAACTTTGAAATTGTATGAAGTTAACATAACCACAAAAATGTTCATCAGAAGATCGATCATAAAAGGAAAAAAATGGACATTAATCTTTTTGTAAAAAGTAAAATAATAAATTCTATTTTATTGTTTTAATATGTGCACATATTGTGTGTATGTAATAAGTTTATTTTCATAATTGTTATAATAGTTTGTACTTTTTTTAACCATTGAAACTATGTAGTTGCATGTATATATATTACATAGCCTTATTCATCGTAGTGGTCTCATATGTTGTTTTTACCATTGATAGTTACATATGTAGTGCCTATAACAAAATATATTGATAGAAACATAATTAGATTTTACGTCGTTTCAGACATCTATATCATTCTTATTTTTGTATATTTACAAAAAAAAAACTTTTGTATCCGGACACTTGGACACTGTATGATAACCTTATCCTTCCTTCCTTGTAGTGGTTGTACAAGATAATAAAGCAATAACACATTATTGAAAAACTGCATCAGTGAATCTCCTTCAAATGGATTGAAAACACTGGTCAATCCATTTGTTTAGAAACTACCTTAACCATTTCTGAGCAATATATTGCAAAAATAATTATGTATATCATAACGCACCCATACATTCTATTATCCACATTAACGCTTATATCACAAGATGTAGGAGATAGAGACTACTTTTATTACTCATTCCAGTTAAACATGATATCCCTCTTGACTGCTATACCGTATTTACCCAAAAACCCATCAAAATCCTTTTAAGAGTCATTTACATGATACCGCTTGCCTATTTTATTCTGCTAGGTTACCATTCTAATCAAATGTGGATTATTGTATATGGATTTTAATAGGTTTGAAAATTTAAATTATATTCGGTGCTTTTTGTTTTCTTTTTACCAAACATTATTTCATCTAGAAGGACAATATTATAGTTTACTAAACCGTTAGGAATAACATTCCCTAAGTGTGGAGTAAAGCAAAATATATATATAGTAAAATGATCGACTCAACACACGAATTTCGTGGAAGATATATTTGATAACAATCTCAAAGAATTTAATGTGAGAAGAGAGATAAAAAAAATTAGTCACAATGACATACCAAGTCTTTAAAACTAGGTGCAACATCATTTGAAACGACTGTTCGTAAACTGATATCTTCTGTGACTAAGACCAAAGGGAGATTAGATGATCCCTTCGTAATACAATATCATGAAGTTGACTGAAACAACCAACCTATGCCACAAGCACTGGCCACACTGTTTCAGACTACATCGGTAAACAGTGAAGGGGATCCAAAGAAGTTTATGTTAGTGATCCTCTCCATATTGTAGTGAGGCTTAGGACGAGCACGAGAAGTTTGAGGCATCAAACCTCCTGCCATTCTAGAGTTGAGTTGATTGTTTTCACCCGAAGATTTGCTTCCAAGAGTCTACTTTTCAAACATGTAATGGTTCTTACTAATCAATTGAGTCCACAAGACTCATGGATATAGGGAAAGAAATGTGTTATCTGCTCTATGATTAAAAATTCATGCTGAAATATTGGTTATAAGATTTATAATCATAACTCAAATCAAGATTATTCGATCATACAAATTTACTAAGGAATTTTATTTTACAATGAATTTCAGTATATTCAAAATGATTCATTTGTCAAACAATACAATACTTAAATCGCAAATTAAACCCTTCAGGTTTGTAAATAGTGATAAAAAATCACATGTTAAATATGAAAACTAGTATATTTTTACTTTGATTTCATTGTAAAACTAGGTGCAACATCATTTGAAACGACTGTTCTTAAACTGATATCTTCTGTGACTAAGACCAAAGGGAGATTAGACGATCCCTTCGTAATACAATATCATGAAGTTGACTGAAACAACCAACCTATGCCACAAGCACTGGCCACACTGTTTCAGACTACAGCGGTAAACAGTGAAGGGGATCCAAAGAAGTTTATGTTAGTGATCCTCTCCATATTGTAGTGAGGCTTAGGACGAGCACGAGAAGTTTGAGGCATCAAACCTCCTGCCATTCTAGAGTTGAGTTGATTGTTTTCACCCGAAGATTTGCTTCCAAGAGTCTAATTTTCAAACATGTAATGGTTCTTACTAATCAATTGAGTCCACAAGACTCATGGATATAGGGAAAGAAATGTGCTATCTGCTCTATGATTAAAAATTCATGCTGAAATATTGGTTATAAGATTTATAATCATAACTCAAATCATGATTATTAGATCATACAAATTTACTAAGGAATTTTATTTTACAATGAATTTCAGTATATTCAAAAGGATTCATTTGTCAAACAATACAATACTTAAATCGCAAATTAAACCCTTCAGGTTTGTAAATAGTGATAAAAAACACATGTTAAATATAAAAACCAGTAAATTTTACTTTGATTTAATTGTAAAATAATATTTAAATCATTTAAATTAATAAGCAAATAACAATCTATAAGATGTGTATATTTTTATACACATCACCAACTGAAGATTCCACATTTTTGTTGTTAGAGCAATTAATTGATTCCTAACAAAAATACAATAATTGTAAGATTTATATGTTAATTATCTCAGATAAAAAATGAGATATGAATCATTTCATATTGACATAGAATATCATGTTTTTATCCTTTTGTTTAGTTGTTTTTACTAGAATTTGATGTTATGAAACACTGACCCATCTTCTACTATAAAATAGTAAAACATTCTAATTGGTTTTAAGTAACATATCCAAACTCAGAAAGGGTTTGCCTTTGAAAACCTTAACAAACATGTAGAAACTTATTCCATAATGCTACTTATTTTGGTACTGTTTGTTTCAGACATTTGATGCACACCTTTGTTGTTTCCACCAAAATTAAATTAATATATTTTGTAATTTTTCTCATCATTATGTAATTACTCTGTTTAGATTAAAATTTAATGATTTTTACAAAATTTTAAATAAAATTAAAAGAAATTATTGCAATTTTCATGAATATAGAAAGTTACAAATTTTGATGATTAATGATCGAAAGTTATAGAGGGGTGTACTCACTCTACAATTTTAAGGGATTTACTCTTATTGAGTTTTGTTGATAATTTCAGATAAGTTGAAATATTAAATTTGATTTTTGTTAAACGATTATGGAATTTAACATAAAGCCAAAATATTTAAAATTTAACTATTTTTAAAAAAAAACTTCAGTAAAACACTCGAAAATCACCAGAAAATTTCTAAAAAAAAATAAATTTAAAATATTTTCAATAACAACAGATTTCAGTAATTCATTAAAACAAGTTCAATAATGTTGGATTTAAATTAGTTTTTTAAATTCATATTAAATAATAATACATATGTCATTTGAATACAAATCACTTTAAATTTCTAGATGAATGCATCCAAATAATATTTTTCATGAATAGAAACAATATTTAATTCAAATATTATTGCTACCTTTGTTTTATATTTATTGCAATATATATATTGGAGCTCCAGCTTTTTGTTTTGTTATTGCTATAAACTTAATAATAATTAAATTGATTTTCCATAAAAGTGCCATCTTATTGACTCTAGAGAGTAGATATTTTTTAATAAAGATATTTCCCATTTAAACCCACAACACATCACCCTTTCTTTTCTTTAAAAAAAAAACAGAAAGAAAGCTAACAATAAAATAAGAAATCGCTTTCCTCCTATAAATACAATCAGCCCCTACACTATTCTCTAATCATTAAACAGTGTTACAAAACATAAGAGCAAAACCAAGAAGAAGAAGAAGAAGATGGTGAAAGTGGAGAACACGAAGAACATCGCCATGTCTGACTTCATTGTCAACCTAGATCAGTACGTCTTTCTTTTTTTTTAATTTCACAAATTCCTCTAACCGCATTGCAAAATCATCGGCTCCAAAAAAAGAAAATCATATTCTTCTAAAAAAATAAAAATTGTTGCAGTGGAGATCCAACGGCGTACGAAGAGTACTGGAGGAAGATGGGTGATAGATGTACGGTGACGATACGTGGTTGTGATCTAATGAGTTATTTCAGCGACATCAATAACCTTTGTTGGTTTCTTGAACCGGAACTAGCCGAAGCGATCAAAGAGTTGCACGCTGTTGTCGGAAACGCAGCAACGGAGGATCGTTACATCGTGGTCGGGACCGGTTCTACGCAGCTTTGTCAAGCGGCCGTCCACGCACTATCTTTGCTTGCTGGTGGGACCGAACCTGTCAGCATCGTCGCCGCTGCTCCTTACTATTCCGTAAGCCCCCACCACTAAACTAAACTTCCTCCTCGTATCTTTTTAATTTGTTTTTAATCCTTCCTTTTTCCGTTGACATAGTATATATTTTAAAAACTAATAAACTGAGTTTTTTTCCACTTAACAACTAATAACCCGATTTTTTAGTTAGACTCCACTACTCTGAATCTTTGTGGATTATTTTTTTTAATCCGAGTAGGGTTTTGGATCAAGTCTAGATCTATTTTGGGTGTTTTTAATTAAATTAAATCTCTTAAGGAAATAAAGATTTGTATGTGCTAGCCAAGTGGCCATTAGAGATGAGTAATTTCTTAAAACCATCTAAGATAAATAAACTCAATCTAATCACAACTAAAATTATCTATAATTTTATTTTGACAGTTTTTTTCTGGTGTTGTTTTGGATTTATCTTTCTTTAAACTGCTTAACCAAATATGAACCCGACAAAGAAGCAATTGTTTTATTTTATTTTTTACTTATTTAGGTTGTCATATACTATTACATAAATCTAACTTTAGGAAAACAATATAGAAGCATAATAAAATAGAATTTTGAAGAAGATTCATTAGATGCGTGAAAAACGTCTTATTCTAATTTATCTAAAATCCAAAGTCATTTTTTTAATCAAAAAGTTGATTTGATGTGAAGATTTAGGGGGAGTCTTGTTTACAATATCAAAGATTGGAGATCTAAAAGACACAGTGACAGACATGTTTATCGAACACAACACCTCACATCCACCATTCCTTTTTTTTTTTTTTATTTAACAATCTACAAAAACATCTTTTCCTTCTTACATACTGCATGTGTTGTGAATTCATGTGCTAAAACATCAGTAACATGCGCATGTCCCCACTTTTTTCCTTTCGCTTTTACCAAAAACCATTCTTCTTCTCTTAATTAATTTCATTTTTTGGAATATAAAAAAATGTTTGCTACTTTATTATTGTTTAAAACAGACGTATGTGGAGGAGACAACATATGTTCGGTCGTGTATGTACAAGTGGGAAGGAGACGCGTGGGGCTTCGACAAGAAGGGTCCGTTCATCGAGCTGGTCACGTCACCCAATAACCCAGACGGCACTATCAGAGACTCTGTGGTGAACCGTCCAGACGACGACGAAGCTAAAGTGATCCATGACTTTGCTTATTACTGGCCCCACTATACTCCCATCACTCGCTGTCAAGACCATGACATTATGCTCTTCACTTTCTCCAAGATCACAGGCCACGCTGGGTCCCGCATTGGGTCAGTTATTGGGTTATTCATTAGTTTCTTTCATAAATATCATGCATTAAAAACTAAAATGCATGCTTACCGAATTTAAATCTGAGTAATGACCATTAGGTTTTATGGTTCTGATAATTCAAAAATGATTTTTAATTATTTAAAAGTAATTAATGGGGTTTTTTTTTGGATGATGAAGGTGGGCATTGGTGAAGGACAAGGAGGTGGCAAAGAAAATGGTTGAGTACATTATGGTGAACTCTATTGGTGTGTCTAAGGAGTCACAAGTACGAACCGCTAAGATTCTCAAAGTTCTCAAGGAGACTTGTACGAGTGAAACGGACAACTTCTTCGAGTATGGTCGTGAGCTGATGAAGAAAAGGTGGGAGAAGCTTCGTGAAATGGTGAAGGAAAGTGATTTCACTCTTCCTAAGTACCCTGAAGGCTATTGCAACTTTTTTGGCAAGACACTTGAATCATACCCTGGTAAAACGACACATGTGTTTATTTCTTTGTAACGTTTTTGGATTGTTGTGAACTGAATAAGACGTAACGGTTGGTGTGTTTTTTCATGTGCAGCGTTTGCGTGGCTAGGGACGAAGGAAGAGACGGATCTGGTTAACGATTTGAGGAGACAGAAGGTTATGTGCAGAGCAGGAGAACGTTGTGGTTCTGACAAGAAGCATGTCCGAGTCAGTATGCTGAGTCGTGAAGATGTTTTCACTGTGTTTCTCGAGAGACTCGACAACATGAAGCAAATTAAAAGCATTGACTTTTAAAATAATAAGTGCATATAAAAGTCTAATAGTTAAAAGGTTTTTATAAAATGCCTTTATAATTAAGTACTCTTTAGTATGTCTAAGCTTACCCTAGTCATCTACATATATGTTGAAACAATAAAGGGTTCTGTCTTGCCGTCTCTCTAAATGTATGTGGGCTTTTTCTATTTGTGAAATATATAAAGTTTAACTTTTATACTTTTCTTTTAGATAAATGCTTTAAATTTATTTGAATTATGACTTAAAGTGTTATAAGGTTAAAAGATCCATCATCTGTAAAATTATTTGTCAAGACTCAAGTCTACAAGTCTCGACATGACGATTAGAAAATTTACCAGTCAAAAATACCTAAATAGGGCAGGTAAAACTAATTAAGTAGACAAGTTTCTTATGATCTTGTTTTTTTTGTCAACAAGTTAGCTCTACCTCATGGGTTATGATATCTTTTCTATTTTTTTCTCATTTTTTGGCTTCTATTATTTATCAAATTTAGATGATTTAAAATAATTGAATTATTTTTTTTAAAAAGGTATTTTAGAATACCTCAAATTATAATATAAGGCAATGAGACAATTCATGTCATTCATCATACCACAACCAAACTCACTCTCTCTTTTTCTCTGCCTTTGATCGAACCCATGAGGTAGAGCTAAGCTCACAAACCAAGTGAGCTAGACGATCAGGCGTTGTTTCGTTTAAATGTTAATGACTTGTTCAACATTACTAAAGACAAAACTCTTTGGGCCCAAAATATTTATCTTAATATGGCTTCATAGAAATTATTTAAACATCGCAAACCCATAATTTAATAGGCCCGGATACACCTAGAGGCTATGACAAACAAGTACTAACCAACCATAGTGCTTCCTAAAGGTCACTATGAACATGTCATTGGAGCTCAAGGATTTGTAGTTGGGCTATAAATTTCAAAGCAAACTTTTAAATTTCTACTTTTAAGAGTTTTATTAAATGTGTTACAAAAAAAAAAGAGTTTTATTAAATGTTATAAAATTCTATAAATACTGTTTCATAAAATTATAACAAAAATATATTCCATGACCGTCTCTGAGTTCCCGTACGAAGTCATATTTTTTCCCTTATACATCGTAAGTTCGTAACACCGTAAAATACGAATCCTTGCTACAAAAAATTTGTTAAAAAAAAAAGAACTACAAAAATTTGTTCAGAAAAAAGAACTACAAAAATATCTAAACAAAATTTGTTGAATGGCATAAAATTCTAAATCAAAAGTTCTATTAACTTAATTCGAATAAATAACATAAAAATCCAAAAAATTTACACAAATACTTCAAATACTAAATCCTATATGCATCTAAAAAGTACATGAACTCAAACAAAAATTTAACTAAATCCAAAATGGACTCAGATCTAAAATGGATCTTAAACAGAATCATAAACGATACTCGAATCCAATTCGAACATATACAAAATCTAAATATAACAAAATGTTAGAATCCAAAAAATTTAGAAAAAATCACAAACGGGTTCCCACCCTGAGATAACAAAAAAAAAAAGCTATTATCCTCACAAAACTATGAAATTTACAGCATAAACTAGAAATGAGACATTCTCTGTATAATCACACTTGAACTTGAATGTGACTGATCATGTATTCGTAAAGACAAATGTGTGCTAAAATAATATTATCTTATTACCACCAACTTTGGTCTGATTAAAAGTTGGTAATGTCCAAAAAAAGTAGAAGAAAGTACTCTTTAACGGTTTGGTTCAGACCATCATCTTCATCTGAAACAATCCAATCCAATCCGATGCAATGAAAGCTCTCCTCAATCCCGAATCTTCCTTCTCCCTCTCTCCGATTCAGATCAAGCGACCTACCTACTACTCCTCCTCCTCCTCCTCATGCCTCCGGTTTCCCTTAACCGGTTTCAACGGCCATCCCTGGCGGCGGAAGCTCCTCCTCCCTCACGGTGGTTTCAAGATAAAAGCAGTGTTGGACTCTGCAATGATGGAACAGTTTGGTCTCAAGGAGTCTGATATTAAAAATCCAGCTCTCTCTACCACTTACCGTAGATCCGAGATTCCAAAAGCAAACCCTACCGTTCTTGATGCTCAAGCTAGGGTTTGTACTGGACCTACTCAGACAAGGCCTCTCAGTGAAGAACAAGCTTTCAAGGTCTTTGATACTATACTTAGATCAGGTAAGCATAAAGTTTCAAACTTTATATCTTTAAGCTTGTTTAGGATAGGCTTCTTGGTTTAGGGTTTAGTGATTGGCTCTATAAAGTTTGAAACTTTATATCTTTAAGCTTGTTTGATTTGGTGTTCTTATGGTTAACTTTAGTATGTTTTGGAAACGCTTCTTGGTTGTTGGTTAGCAGTTTTGTTTTAGTGATTGTGTCTGTATAGTTCTTGAGTTTGTTGAGTAGACTGTTTACTAGTTCTCATTGGGATGCAGCTAGAGGGGAACTAAAAGGAGAAGAGACAGTGTCAAAGGCCCAGCTTGGTGCTTTCTTTGCTGGGATGACAATCCGAGCAAATGCATTTCCTGAGGAGACTCAATGGAGTGAAGGTGAAAAGAGGGCCATGGATGTGTTCTGGCCGCTTCTTGTTAGGGCGCTACCTCCTGATGTGCTCTTCATTGCAGACCCTGAAGGGTCTCTTTTGGGGACTGGTAGCTCTGTTGGGCCTACTTTTGTTGGCAATGAAGCTAAGGAGATGAGGTTGGTTGGTGCGTTGAGAGAGGTTTTGGCTGGTGGTCATCTTGGTTATGAAGAGGTTAAAGGTGTTCTGAGAGATGTTCTGCCTCTTGGAAAGGAAGATGGGTTGGTGTCTGGAGTGAGTGAGTCTTTGCTTTCTGCGTTTTTGATTGGTCAGAGGATGAATAGAGAGACTGACCGAGAGCTTAAAGCTTATTGCCTTGCGTTTGATGATGAACTTGGGGCTGCTCCTGTTGCTGATGTTAAGTCGTTGACGCATTATGGGGAGCCTTATGATGGGAACACTCGTTTTTTTCGAAGCACGCTGTTTGTGGCTACGGTTAGAGCTTGCTATGGTGAATCTTCACTGCTCCATGGCGTTGAATGGATGCCTCCAAAGGTATTAATAACAAAAATGAATCTATCTCAGTACACCTAGTTTACTCTTTACTCTTTGTTATTTTCGTTAACTCTTTAGCTTTTTGGTCTAGGGTGGTGTGACTGAGGAGCAAATGCTGAAGTTTATGGGAGCAAACACAAGTTTGTCTGTTCACCAGGCAAAAGAACTCATTGAGGTGCCTACAATAATTTAGACTAATCTCTCTCTCTCTCTTGCCAGACTATTTGTATGGTTTACTTGCTCTATGTAACTCTGTTGGTGTCTTTTGCAGGATGAGAAGGCTGGATTTGCGTATCTTAGTCTACGGGAAGCTCGGCCATCTTTGTATGAGATTTGTTTGAGCCATTCGTTTGTTTAGCTTAGATCTGTGGCTATGCTAATGCATATGAGCTGGTAAAGAAAGCATATGGGGGTATTGATAGTTTTCTTTGATGTTTGTAGATATTCGGTAGTGGGAATGAGGGAGCACATAAAGAAGCGTCCTCCTCTAGCAACAACGGAGAAAGTTCAACAGTTTGTGAGGGTAAGGGGATCCATCAGAGGTCACCGCGTTACATGCTCCATAGGACTTGAGAGAAGCTACTTGTATACACTCTACAGACATTTTATTGGATGTTTTGTACTGCAGGCGACAGGGAAGGAATCCATTGTGGCGGGGTTTTACCATGAAGGCTACGAGGAGCCTCTCCTAATGCTTATGAGAAGAAGAGGTGTCCACTCTGGTTTGGTGGTTAAGGTATCGAACCTGACATCTGTTAGTAACTCGTCCTATTAGTTTCCATTGGAAGTTTTGAACCGTTTAACAGTGAAGTTTTCAGGGAATGAATAAGAGTTCTCTTTGGTTAATTTAGGGAGAAGAAGGGGCACTCTCAATGACAACAAGGGTGCGAGCAGCAACTGCATCAAAAGGGTTTCCAGTTAACTACTGTTCTGGTTTCCGTTCATTGAGTTCAGACACTGCTCTAGAAGCTGACGGTATGTATAGCTAAAATACAACATTCCTAGTCACATTAATTGAATCTATTGCTTGATACATTCAATTCTTTGTATACTATATTTGCATTGGTGATGGAAGTTGGATTAGCCATTCTAGATTGCTATGTAAACAAATCCAGAGCTGTCACTTCTTTAGATTGGGCAACTTTATATGAAACTAATGCGTCAACATTGTTGGTTCAGTTCAACTTATGACTTAAGTAACTTACTGTAATTGTTAGGTGTTTCACGTCAGAGTTTCAACCTTGAGGTGGATGCAAGAAACTATGGATTTGAGCCAACAGAGACTCCAAGAACTGATCGTTCGGTAAAACCTTTTAAAACATATTTGTTTTACTCACTTGTTCGCTTACCAACAAAAGAGATAGAAGTTGATATACTTGTGTGTTGAATGTGATAGGTGTCCAAGAACATAGAGCTGGGTTTGGCAGCACTTCGTGGTGAGAAAGGAGCTGCTTATGATAGAATCGTCCTAAATGCTGGGATTGTAGATCATTTATTGGGAGGTGAAGGTGCAGAAGATGTGGCTGTGGCAATGGAGAGAGCAAAGGAAGCTATTGACAGTGGGAAGGCTCTAAAGAAGCTTTTGAATTACATTGAGATCTCACGCAAGATGAAATAGCTCTCCAAATAATCTGGAGACTTGACAAATCATCATACACGGAATAGAGAGATGCATATTCACACTCTTTCTTGAATCTTTTTTTGTTTTGTTTCGTTTGTGTGGACAAAACTCTCTAGTCTTCTGTATTGTTGTTTTTTTTACAGAATGGACACATAAGATAAATGCTTGTGGGGACTTTCTGTGGATAGATGGGTGAATGCATGTACATAATCTGTTTATGATGTGTGTGTGTTTTTTGGAGTGATTCATAATTCATCTTAGTGGATTTTGTTTTTTCATATAAAATCATATTCGAGTCAATGATTAATAGTAACCTCTTTGAGCTCATTTTTGAGTGGTTCACTATTCAAATTTCAAGTAGTAACCTGTTCTTGCAACCTCCTTTGAGCTCATTGGTTTATTGTTTTCAGGATGTTTCAAGAAAGGCCAGAGATTATTGATAGTTTCATGTTTTAGTAGTCAGTGATAAACTTTGGTTAACTCAAGAAATATGTTAAAGAAAGGACTGAGAGAACATTATTACTATTATTGTCTATTCACACACTCTTTAAAAAAGCTATAGCTACTAGTCAAAAGCTTAAGCTGAAAGTATATTTGATATGAAACTAAAAAAAGTGAATATTCTGAAGACCTTTTGGTGAAACTAGAAGTTGAGCTAGTAATTATAACTAGTGGTCAAAGCTCTTTTGGTATATATATACCTCTTCAAAGCTTCTTCAAATCAGATACAATTTTAAAGAAACTTTGCTTTTTAACTTATTTCTCAAGTAAATCAGGTTCTCATCTGTCTCTGAAGAATACAAAGTTTTCTTTGTTTAGAGGCACCATGGATTCTCCGGGAAAGTCTCTTAAGAGAACTCCACCACAGCCTGAGTCTCTTCCGGCTCCGTCACAAAATGTCAGAGAAAAATCGACCCTACAGAGGCTTAACTCCGTCAGCGTTAAAGATTTGAACACTTTCTTATCAGGTACACATAAATAAGTCGCATAAGATTCTAGTATTATATTATTGTTGTTTTGGATTTTGAAAAAAAGTTATGGGTTTCAACCCAAAAAATATAAATTAGTTTACCAGTCTTTATAGAAAACCAACCTTTTAAAAAGGCTTAAAAGAAACATGAGTATAAGTATACCAAACAAAATGATTACTTCATCATAGTTAATCAAGAATGTAAAGAAATTAAGGAGTCAGAGAACACTATTATTATTGTCTATTCACTCACTAACTAGTCAAAAGCTTAGCTGAAAGTATATTTGTTATGAAACTGAACAAGTATATAATTCGTAAGACATTTTGGTGAAACTAGTAATTATAGCCACTAGCCAAAGCTCTTTTGGCATATATATATTCCTTCAAATCTTCTTCAGTCAGATACAAATTTAAAAAACTTTGCTTTTTTAACTTATTTGTCAAGAAAACCAAGCTCTCATCTGTATTAAGAAGATAAGTTTAAATTTACGTTTTAAGTAATTATTAACATACCAAGTTCGTTTTCTTTGTTTAGGGACCATGGACTCTCCGGGAAAGTCGCTTAAAAGGAAGACTCTGGCGCAAGATCCGATCAATAAGAAGCCAGAGAAAAAAGAGGAAGAGGACTTAAATCTCAAGAAAAGTAAAGTAAATCAGGTTCTCATCTGTCTCTGAAGAAAAAAAGTTTTTACTTTTACGTTTTAACTTAAGTAATTAACATAACAGTTCGTTTTCTTTGTTTAGGCCATGGATTCTTCGAGAAAGCCGGTTAAAGGGGAGATTCCGGTGCAAGATCCGATCAGTAACAAGCCGGAGAAAGAAGAGAAAGGATCGGAGGAGTAGATGGACTTGACTTTATTGTTTGTTAGTAGAATTATGTCGTCTACCATCGACTTATAGATACTCTATGGTTCTACTTCTATATATAATCATTTCTTCTCGTTGCCTCGAAGAGAACATGTTCGTTTTATTTTATTTTAACGACTTGAACTTAAAATCTTTGAGAATATTAGTGAATGGAAAATTTATTAATTTCTTCGTTTTATATGTTGCATAACTATTTGTCACGTTAATTTAAATAAAAAGCTTAGCCAAAGGTATATTTGATATATGAAACGGAAGAAGTTTATTTTTCTTTTTGGTGAACTAGAAATCAAGTAAGTAAAATCCACCCCACGGAGGCTTAACTCCGTCAACGTTCAAGACACTTTCTTCTCAAGAACACATGGATAATCACACAAGATTCTCACTAATACATAGTTAGCCTTTTAGTGCGTTCATCAATGGTTTGCATGGATTTTATTTTATTGGTTTAAGTCACGATTTATAACTTTTTGTATAGTTTAAGTAGAATTATTTTGTCGAATTAAAGATATGAAGAAACTGAAATTCATACACTTTTTGTAAGATTCAATGGATTTTTAGACCTTTATAATATTTTTGGTGCCTTGACGAGAACATGTTAATTTTGTATTTTAATTTGAACTTAAAATCTTGAGACTATCAGTGAATGGAAAATCCATAGTTGAGTCATTCTTTTCATGTTTCATCAGAAATTTGATTGTTTACAACGAAAAGAATCAACATATTATTCAACTGCCACATGCTTCAACTTTGGATTTTATATCCAAAATCATAAGTATTTGGTCAACTAGATTTTTCTTTAAAACCTTTATGTTGAACATTATTCAAATTAGAGAAAGATGACCCACACTGCCGCACAACAACTACATGAAGTCAAAATAGATACATCATTTTTGGTAATAGCGAGTAAATTGAATAGTCGGTTTCGAGCTGAATAGAATCATATGCATTACAATCATCAATAATTTCATACTATAATGTTGTTTATTTTTTCATATGAAGCTCTCTTTTCAAGTGAAATGGCAGTAGTATCATGCAAGTAATAGTGTCAACTTTTAGACAATCACATATTTCAATTCTTTTCTAGTGACCAATTTTTTTTATCCAAGTTAATTAATCAAAAAAAAATTGTTACTAGCTGAGGTTATGAGATATTGGATAGTTTCAAAAAGATTAATGATTACTTCATGTTTAAGTAGACGGTGATAAACTTTGGTTAGCTCAAGAATATGTTAAAGAAATTAGGACTCTCAGAGAATATTACTATTATTGTCTATTCACACTCTTCAAAAAGGCTATAGCCACTAGTCAAAAGCTTAGTTGAAACTTGAAAGTACATTGATATGAAATTGAAGAAGTATATTCTTAATTAAGACCTATTGGTGTAACAAGAAATTGAGTAATTCTAACCACTAGTCAAAACTCTTTTAGTATATATATTACTTCAAGCTTCTTCAATCAGATACAATTTTAAAGAAGCTCTAATAGCCAAATCTACCCTTCTTGTTCCTTACAAGAAACTTTGCTTTTTACTTTTCACTTATTTCTCAAGAAAACTTAAGAAAAATCAGGTTCTCATCTGTGTCTGAAGAAGAAAGATTACTTTTACGTTTTTACTTAAGTAATTATTTACATTCAAGTTCGTTTTCTTTGTTTAGGCCATGGATTCTCCGGGAAAGACGCTTGAAGTGAAGATTCCGGTGCAAGCTCCGATCAATAACAAGCCAGAGAAAACAGAGGAAGAAGAGGAAATGGAGAAAATGGAGGTTTATATGCGCTTATATGTCGAGGAACTTCGAGAAAAACAGGTTCTCATCTGTCTCTGATGAAGAAAGTTTTACTTTTACGTTAATAGTAATTATTAACATTCCAGTTCGTTTTCTTTGTTTAGGCCATGGCTTCTCAGGGAAAGTCTCTAATAGGGAAAACTCCGGTGAAACATCTAATCAATGACTCTTTTCCCAAGGCGGTCTGTTTGGAAACTTCATGGCTCCCCCTCCGCCCTGAAGATCCGATCAATAAGGAAACAGAGGAAGAAGACTTAAGTCTCAAGAAAACTCAAGAAAATCAGGTTCTCATTCAAATATTTTGATGCAGACAAGTACAATTCCATCTATATTTTTCTGATCGAATTGGGGTACGAAACAAATTGTCTTTAATTCAACTGAAAAAAAGAAGTAAGCAAAGTTCAGAAACTATAAAATAGTTAAATGATGCTTATGACGAGACTAATAAGTTATATTGTAGTTTTGAATTTTTGATAACATATATGAGGTTTCAACCCAAAACATTTTGGTGATTTAAGTAAGAATTAATTTTCTAGTCTTAAATCGGTTTAATAAATTGATTTTGAGAAATTTTAAGACGTTAAATTATCACAAAAAGCATTTCAAACTACTATAATAACTTTGGTTACAAAAAAAAACATTTGAAAAAGTTAAATGATTATGATTACTTTGGTTACTCAAGAATGTGAAAGAAAAGACTCAACATTATTATGATTGTATATTAACAATCTTAAAAAGTGTAACTGAAAATATATTTGATATGAAACTGAACAAAGTATGTTCTTAAAGACCTGTTGGTGAAACTAGAAACTGAACAAGTAATTATAGCCACTAGTCAAAACTCTTTTGGTATATATATTTCTTCAAAGCTTCTTAAATTAGATACAGTTAAAAGAAACTTTGCTTTTACTTATTTCTCAAGAAAATCAGGTTCTCATCTGTATCTGAAAAAGTTTACTTTTACGTGTTAAGTAATTAACTGAACAGTTCGTTTTATTTGTTTAGGCCATGGATTCTCCGGGAAAGTCTCTTAAAGGGAAGAATCCGGTGCAAGCTCAGATCAATAACAAGCTCAGATCGCCCATTTGTATGTTCTCATATGTTGAGGAACTTCGAGAAAAACAGGTTCTCATCTGTGTCTGAAGAAGTTTTACTTTTACGTTTTTAAGTAATTAACATACCGTTCGTTGTCTTTGTTTAGGGCATGGATTTTCCGGGAAAGTTGTCTGAAGTGATTCCGAGGCAAGCTCTGATCAATAACGAGCAGGAGCAAGAAGAAGCGAAAGAAGGATGGACTTGGGTGTCCAACAAAAGAAAATCGAAAAAGTCCGGAAAATAATAAAATATCTCAAGAAAACAAAAATAAGTCGCATAACGGCATAAGATTCTCACTACTACATATTTAGCCAGTTTGTGCGTTCGTTAATGGCTTGCATGCATGGATTTATTTTAAAATTTTAATTAGTGTTTTATCTTAAGTTTTGTTTTTTAAACATTATTGGTAGAGTTATTTCGTCTACCATCAAATTATAGATATGATTAAGCAACTGAAATTCATACCCTTTCCTTCTGTAGATTCAAAGTTGAATCATTCCTTTCTTCCGGGTTATATGTATTGCATAACTATTTATCAGAAATTTAATTGTTTACAACGAAAACTAAGACTCAGGATAATACCCATTAATCTGACACATGCTTCAACATTGGATCTATATCGAAAATCAATAATTATTTGGTCAAATAGATAAAAAGACGTTTGAATCCGATGAAATGTTTCTTTCAACCTTTAATGTTTGAGGAAAATATTCGAACTCAGGAAAATTGACCCACACGGCCACATAACAACAACTACTTGAAGTCTAAAACAGAAGTCTACATCATGTTTGGTAATGGCCGAGTAAGTTGACTAGTCGGTTTCGAGCTGTGTAGATTCATGTGCATTACAATCATCAATAATTTCATACTGTAATGTTGTTTTTTATGTAGGAAACTAACTCTGTAAAAACTGTTCTTATATGCTGTTTTAAATAACTTTATATATATCTTTTGGAAAAACATACAAAATATATCTATAAGTCTAAAAGTATATTTGATATATGAAACTGGAGAAGTATATTCTTCTTTTTGGTGAATCTAGATATTGAATAATTATCTAGATATTAATTGGAGAAGCTTCTCAATATTTTTATCATATTTTATAATAAAATGTAAAGAATATGGACGTGATAGTAGTGGTTCATGTTTATTGTCAAGAAAACAAGAGATATAATTAAACGAAGAGTTATCCCATCACTAATAAGATAAAGTTTCTAGATGGATTCAAATATTCCACCCTTATATATCAAATTAAACATGATATCAGATCAAATATTTCACTGAATCTTCTTCTTTGCGTCTTCCTTTTTTTTTGTTGGTATTTTCTGGTCAAAGCTTCTTCAAACAGACACAGTTAAAGAAACTCTAAAACCCTAATCTTCTTCTTGTTCCTCACAGGAAACTTTCCTCTTACTTATTTCCTGAGAAAAGTCAAGAAAATCAGTTCTCATTTTGCTCTGAAGAAATTTTATTAAACTTTTATCGTTACGTAATTAATATTTCAATTCGTTTTCTTTTTCGTTTTGATTTGTTTCTTCAGTTTTCTTCGCCATGGATTCTCCGGTAAAGTTGCTTAAAGTGAAGATTCCGGTGCAAGCTCCAAACAAAAAGAAGCCTGAGAAAGAAGGAGAAGAGGAAGATGGATTCACCACTCCAAAAGGAGTGCAATTTACCATTCCACCGCAGGTCAAGTGTCCTCCGGCTCCTCCACGCGGCGGTGTCCAACATAAGACCATCGAAAAACGTCGGAAAAAATCCACCCCACGGAGGCTTACCTCCGTCAACATTCAAGATTTGAACACTTTCTTCTCAAGAACACACTTATAATCACGCAAGATTCTCACTAATACATATTTAGCCTTTTAGTGCGTTCATTAATGGTTTGCATGGATTTTATTTTATATGTTTTTAGTTACAATTTATACCCTTTAGTAAAGATATGAAGCGATTGACAAAAAAAAAAGTAAAGATATGAAGCAACTGAAATTCATTCACTTTTTGTAAGATTTAATGGATGTTGGATCTATAATCTTCTTGGTGCCTGGACGAGAACATGTTGTTTTTTTTTGAAAACTTGTAATCTTGAGAAGTATCAGTGAATGGAAAATTGATAGTTAAGTCATTATTTTCTTCGTCTTATATTTTGCATAACTATTTATCACATTTTTATTAGAAATTTGATTATTTACAACGAAAAGAATCAATATAACTACTTAATCTCCCACTTGCTTCAAACTTTGGATTTTCTATCCAAAATCAGTAAGTATTGGGTCAGGACTCACATGCTTCAATCTACCACATTCTTCGACTTTTGATTTTATAACTATTCAATCTGCCACATGCTTCAACTTTTCTTTAAATCTTTAATGTTAAAGATATTCGAACAAGAGAAAGTTGACCCACACGGCCACACAAAAATTACATGAAGTCTAAATAGAAAGGTACATCATGTTTTGGTAATGGAAATGTAAGTAGTTGGTTTCGAGCTTAATATAATCCTATATACATTACAAACATCAATAATTTCATACAATAATGTTGTTTATTTTTGTAGGAAACTCTCTTATCCAAATGAAATCGTAGAAGTGTCATGCAAGAAATAGTGTCAACTTTCACACAATAACATCTTGTAATTCTTGATCACAAAAAGCATTTCAAACTACTATAATAACTTTGGTTACAAGAAAAACATTTGAAAAAGTTAAATGATTATGATTACTTTGGTTACTCAAGAATGTGAAAGAAAAGACTCAACATTATTATTATTGTATATTAACAATCTTAAAAAGTGTAACTGAAAATCTATTTGATATGAAACTGAACAAAGTATGTTCTTAAAGACCTTTTGGTGAAACTAGAAACTGAACTAGTAATTATAGCCACTAGTCAAAACTCTTTTGGTATATAAATATTTCTTCAAAGCTTCTTAAATTAGATACAGTTAAAAGAAACTTTGCTTTTACTTATTTCTCAAAAAACTCAAGAAAGTCAGGTTCTCATCTGTATCTGAAATTTTTTTACTTTTACGTTTTAAGTAATTAACACTCCAGTTCGTTTTATTTGTGTAGGCCATGGATTCTCCGGGAAAGTCTCTTAAAGGGAAGAATACCGGTCCTGATATGGGAAAGACCAGAAGCAATTTTCAAAAAATTGGCCATTTTTATAAGAACGTTTATATACTATAATAATAATTTCTTATAAAAAAAGCTGAATTTTTCAAGTATTTTTTAAGACCGGAAGCGGTTGCTTGTAATGCTTCCCCTCAGGGCCGATACTGAATCCGGTGCAAGCTCAGATCGATAACAAGCCAAAGAAAGGTGGATTTTGTATGTTCTCATATGTCGAGGAACTTCGAGAAATCAGGTTCTCATCTGTGTCTGAAGAAGTTTTACTTTTACGTTTTTAAGTAATTAACATACAGTTCGTTGTCTTTGTTATCCGGGAAAGTTGTCTGAAGAGATTCTTTTTTTTTTTTTTGCTAAATTAAAGTTGTCTGAAGAGATTCTGAGGCAAGCTCTGATCAATAACGAGCAGGAGCAAGAAGCGAAAGAAGGATGGACTTGGATGTCCAACAAAAGAAAATCGAAAAAGTCCGGAAAATAATAAAATATCTCAAGAAAACAAAAATAAGTCGCATAACGGCATAAGATTCTCACTACTACATATTTAGCCAGTTTGTACGTTCGTTAATGGCTTGCATGCATGGATTTATTTTAAAATTTGAATTACTATTTTATCTTAACTTTTGTCTTTTTAAACATCATTGTTGTGTTATTTCGTCTACCATCGAATTATAGATATGATTAAGCAACTGAAATTCATTTCTTTCTGTAGATTCAAAGAAGAATCATTCCTTTCTTCGGGTTATATGTATTGCATAACTATTTATCACAATTTGTCAGAAATTTAATTTTTTACAACGAAAACTAAGACTCAACATAATATCATTAATCTGACACATGCTTCAACTTTGGATCTATATCGAAAATCAATAATTATTTGGTCAAATAGATAAAAATACGTTTGAATCCGATGAAACGTTTCTTTCAACCTTTAATGTTTGAGGAAAATATTCAAACTCAGGAGAGTTGACCCACACGGCCACATAACAAGTTAACAACAACTACTTGAAGTCTAAAACAGAAGTCCACATCATGTTTGGTAATGGCCGGGTAAATTGAGTAGTCGGTTTCGAGCTGTATAGATTCATGTGCATTACAATTATCAATCATTTCATACTGTAATATTGTTTATTTTTTAGGAAACTAAACTCTATTAAAATTGTTCTTATATGCTCTTTAAAATACATTTATATCTTTTGGAAAAACATACAAAATATATCTCTAAGTCTAATATCAATTTTTACTCTGAATCCATAAAATGACATTGATTTAAATAAAAAAGCTTAGCCGAAAGTATATTTGATATATGAAACTGGAGAAGTATATTCTTCTTTTTGGTGAAACTAGAAATTGAGTAATTATCTAGATATTAATTGGAGACGCTTCTCAATATCTTAATCACATTTTATAATAAAATGTAAAGAATATGGATGAGATAGTGGTTCATGTGTTATTGTCAAGAAAACAAGAGATGTAATTAAAGGAAGAGTTTTTTTTTTTCTTTTTTTGGTAATCTTAAACGAAGAGTTATCCCATCACTGATAAAATAGAGTTTCTAAATGGAAAATATTCCACCCTTATATATCTCTATAATATTATTTGAGAAGTCATTTTCTTAGGTGTCGCGCTCACGTTAACTCTAACGCTGGTTGATTACTATGATACCCCTAATGAATTAAAAATATATTTAAATATTATTATTTCCTTTTTAAAATCTTCCAAATAACAATATAAAATTAAAAGGAAATATTTATAAAATTTACAAAACTATTTAACAACGAAAAAAATAAGTATATATATAATATGGTTTCATAAAAAAGGAAAGTTTACGAAATAGTAATATTTAACTTAAATATATTTTTAAAGAACATAAATTATAATTTTTAAGTAATAAAATACTTTATATCTATATCTTCTTAGATGAAAAAATATTTGTATATATTGTGTTTTCATAAAAAAAGTTCATACAAATAATCTTGATATTATAAAAAGAAATATTTTTTCTTTAAGAAAAAAATTTAAACAATAAAATATATATTTTCAAAGTAATTATTTTTAATAATTATATATATAATATGGTTTCATAAAAAGGGAAAGTTTACAAAATAGTAATATTTAACTTAAATATATTTTTAAAGAACATAAATTATACTTTTTAAGTAATAAAATACTTTATATCTATATCTTCTTAGATGAAAAAATATTTGTAAATATTGTATTTTCATAAAAAAAGTTCATACAAATAATCTTGATATTAGAAAAAGAAATATTTTTTCTTTAAGAAAAAAATTTAAACAATAAAATATATATTTTCAAAGTAATTATTTTTAATTAGTATATATATAATATGGTTTCATAAAAAAAGGAAAGTTTACGAAATAGTAATATTTAACTTAAATATATTTTTAAAGAACATAAATTATACTTTTTAAGTAATAAAATAATTTATATCTATATCTTCTTAGATGAAAAAATATTTGTATATATTGTGTTTTCATAAAAAAAGTTCATACAAATAATCTTGATATTATAAAAAGAAATATTTTTTCTTTAAGAAAAAAATTTAAACAATAAAATATATATTTTCAAAGTAATTATTTTTAATAAGTATATATATAATATGGTTTCATAAAAAAGGAAAGTTTACGAAATAGTAATATTTAACTTAAATATATTTTTAAAGAACATAAATTATAGTTTTTAAGTAATAAAATAATTTATATTTATATCTTCTTAGATGAAAAAAATATTTGTATATATTGTGTTTTCATAAAAAAAGTTCATACAAATAATCTTGATATTAGAAAAATAAATATTTTTTCTTTAATAAAAAAATTTAAACAATAAAATATATATTTTCAAAGTAATTATTTTTTGTATATATCTATCTATTTTATTAGATGATTACATAAAATAATTAAGTAACATAAAAATAATATATGATTAATTGACAAACAAAATTATAATTAGTATTATTGAAATATGTTTTTAGTATATTTATTTGATTATAATATCTACAATTACAGCAAAAATATAAATTATATTTTACTTATATAATATAATTTCTCAAAAATAATCACATTTTTACTGCATATTTTAAGAGATATTAAAAGCAAAACTAAAAATAAATTTAATAATAAACATGTTTTGAGCAAATAGATATATTTTATTTTAATAGTTAAAATTATATGCTTTCTTAATAACTCTCTTGATATTTAATTTTCTGTTTTTATGTTCGTTGAATTTAATATAACCATAATCAAAATACTTAGCAAATCGGAATTCCTTATTTTTAAAATTATTTAAAATAAATTTGAGTTTACCATCCAATCAATCTAAAACATAATTTACTTAAAATTTATAAAATATTTTAATTATTAAAAATATTAATATGTGTTCATAAGCTTCCAAAATTTTATTATTACTTATATATGTAATATAGAATCAGACACTTTAATTTTTTTTTTTACGTTCTAAGCACAAAAAAATCTTAAAATACATAATCTTACTAAGATATAGTTATATTTCTACAATAAAAACCAATATAAATGTAAATAAAACAATTAATCAAAAATTTAAGATATTTAGCATAAAAAAATAATAGTTGAATTCAAAGAAATAGATAGAATCCAATATATATATATATATATATATATATATATATATATATATATATATATCCAAATGATAAAACTGACTAAATATAATATATCTAAAATTATATATAACTACAATAATATAATATTATTAATATAAATTATACATACAAACTATAAATTAATATAAAATTTAAAATAAATATCAATTAACTATTATAATATATATATTTTATAAATATTTGTGTCCGTGCATGAGCACGGGAAAATCACCTAGTTAAACTAAAAATGATATCAGATCAAATATATTTCATAACTCTTCTTCTTTGCGTCTCTTTTTTTTTTGTTGGTATTGTCTGGTCAAAGCTTCTTCAAACAGATACAGTTAAACAAACTCTAAAACCCTAATCTTCTACTTGTTCCTCACAGGAAACTTTCCTCTTACTTATTTCCTGAGAAAAGTCAAGAAAATCAGTTCTCATTTTGCTCTGAAGAAATTGTATTAACTTTTATCCGAAGAAATTAATATACCAATTCATTTTCATTTTCTTTTTGATTTGTTTCTTCAGTTTTCTTCGCAATGGATTCTCCTGGAAAGTTGCTTAACGTGAAGATTCCGGTGCAAGCTCCAAACAATAAGAAGCCTGAGAAAGAAGGAGAAGAGGAAGATGGATTCACAACTCCAAAAGGAGTGCAATTTATCATTCCACCGCAGGTCAAGTGTCCTCCGGCTCCTATACGCGGCGGTGTCCAACAAAAGACCATCGAAAAACGTCGGAAAAAATCCACCCCACGGAGGCTTACCTCCGTCGACGTTGAAGATTTGAGCACTTTCTTCTCAGGAACACACATATAATACATATTTAGCCTTTTAGTGCGTTCATTAATGGTTTGCATGAATTTTATTTCAGTGTTTTTAGTTACGATTTATACCCTTTTGGAATTTATTTTTAGTAGAGTTGTTTCGTCTACCATCGAACTAAAGATATAAACAACTGAAATTCATACACTTATTGTAAGATTTAATGGATTTTGGACAATCTTATTGGTGCCTGGACGAGAACATGTTTTTTTGAGAACTTGTAATCTTGAAAAGTATCAGTGAACGGAAAATTCATAGTTGAGTCATTCTTTTCTTCGTCTAATGTGTTGCATACTTATCACATTTTATCAGAAATTTGATTATTTACAACGAAAAGAATCAACATAACTATTTAATCTCCCACTTACTTCAACTTTGGATTTTATATCCAAAATTAGTAAGTATTTGGTCACGACTCACATGCTTCAATCTGCCACATTCTTCGACTTTGGATTTTATAACTATTCAATCTGCCACATGCTTCAACTTTTCTTTAAACCTTTAATGTTAAAAAATTTCGAACTAGAGAAAGTTGACCCACACGGCCACACAAAAATTACATGAAGTCTAAATAGAAAGGTACATCATGTTTTGGTAATGGAAATGTAAGTAGTTGGTTTCGAGCTGAATATAATCCTATATACATTACAAACATCAATAATTTCATACAATAATGTTGTTTATTTTTGTAGGAAACTCTCTTATCCAAATGAAATCGTAGAAGTGTCATGCAAGAAATAGTGTCAACTTTCAGACAATAACATATCTTGTAATTCTTGATCAAAAAAAAATTGTTTACTGAAGGTTATGAAATTACGAATAGTTTCAAAAATAACTTTGTTTACTGAAGACTGTGAAAGAAAGGACTCACAGAACAATATTATTTGATATAAACTGAAGCTAAGCCACTAGTCAAAGCTTAGCTGAAAGTATATTTGATATGAAACTAAAGAAAGTATATTCTTAAGACCTTTTGGTGAAACTATAAATTGAGCTAGTAATTATAGCCACTAGTCAAAGCTCTGGTTAACTCAAGAATGTTAAGGAAAGGACTAGGAGAACATTACTATTATTGTCTATTTACTCTCTCAAAAAGCTATAGCAACTAGTCAAAGCTTATTAAGCTGAAAGAATATTTGATATGAAACTGAAGAAAGTATATTGTTAAGACCTTTTGGTGTAACTAGAAACTGAATCACTAGTCAAAGCTCCTTTGGTATATATATACATATATATTCCTTCAAAGCCTCTTCAGTCAGATACTGTTTTAAAGAAACTTTGCTTTTACATATTTATCAGGTTCTCATCTGTCTCCGAAGAAGAAAGTTTTTACTTTTACGTTTTAAGTAATTAACATATACCAGTTCGTTTTCTTTGTTTAGGCCATGGCTCCTCCAAGAAAGTCGTTTGAAGTGGATATTTCGATGCCTCCTCCGATGAACCGATCAATGAGAAGCCAAAGAAAGAAGAGGAAGATGGATTCACTACTACTGCAAAGGGAGCGCAATTTAGAAATCCACCACAGTCTCAGACTTCTCCGGCTAACGTCGGAAAAAATCCACCCCGTGGAGGTAAGCCTCCGCTTCCTGAACGCGGCGGAATCCGACAAAAGACCACTCAAGATTTGAACACTTCGCAAAAACACGTATAAGTTGCATAAGATTCTTACTAGTACATACGAAGTTCATTGATGTCTACAACGAAAATAATATTATATTTATTGTCGTTTTTGAATTTCCCGAAAAAAATATGTGTTTCCACCCAAAAATAAGAATTAATTTACTAGTGTGTTTACAGAAAACAAACATTTTCCGTTTGACAAAAAAAAAAAACATTTTCCGTTTAATAAATTTGATTCAGAAAGTAGGAATTGTTAAGTAGTTAAATTACTGAAGAAAATGCACATCACAAAAAAAAAAAAAAACCATTTCAAAACTACGACACACTACTAGTCACATCTGTAACGTACTCTACAACTCGCAAAACGTGTTGGAGAAACAGCAACTAGTAACATACGTGCATTACAAGCTACTCGCTAAGTCTACTATTATCTTTTTCGAGTACCGTGAGGTCTAAGTAATCGTCTTCTTTTAAATCACAACCTAACGATAAATTCCACAAATTATTCCAGAACATAAACGATTAATAACATAATCTCAACTCTAACCCAAAATGTCATAACAACGATTTATAAAACCAAACATAAGTTTCAAAAACTCAAGATCCAAAAAACAAGACAAAAACCCTAAGCTGTAAGAACAACAGCACCACCAGCTTCCTTAATCTTCTTCTCAGCAGTCTTCGAAATAAGCTTCGCCTTCACAACAAAAGGCTTCCCCTCAGGCAAATGACCTTTCCCCAAAACCTTAAAGAACCCATGTTGAGTCACATCGATCAACGGAACCTTGTCCTTTGTAGACTTCGCCTTCAGATCCTCAGGGACGAGAGACCAGAGCATGTCGAGGTTCACGATCGGGCAGTGGAACTTGTTGCGGAGCTTGTGGAAGTAGCGCATACCTACTTTACCGAAGTAACCAGGATGGTACTTGTCGAAGAGGATCCTGTGGTGGTGCATACCTCCGGCGTTACCACGACCTCCGGGATGCTTTCGGTGCTTTCCGATACGTCCATGTCCGGCGCTGACGTGGCCACGCTTCTTCCTGTTCTTCTTGAGTCTCGTCGTCATTTTCTTCCCTCCTGCGCGGCTAGGGTTTTTGTGAAGAAGCAGGGCAAGACTTATAGTGATGACCTAGGGTTTACAAATTTAAGTTTGGGTTTTAAGTTAATTGGGCCTAATAAGGGTTAAACCCAATAGGAAACTTAAACGATGTTGTTTATGGAAGGATTTCCTTGGGAGATCAATAGGAATGATGAAACGGTGTCGTTTATTACAAGGATTGAGGGTCTGACTAGTTATAATGCAACGATTACGGTTGCGATTGCGGGTGTTTGCAGATGAGAGAGATTACAATTTTATGAGTTAGTAAAAGATTTAGATGACTGGTTCAACGGTTAAAAAATGTTGCGATTACGGAATACATAAAACTGGTGTATTACCAAATAATACAGTGGTTAAATAATAAGTTAACATAATTTATATTCTATATAATTATTAAAATCATATTTTTATAATTAATATAAAATTTTTATTGATAAAACTACTAGTATTAATTTTGTTAAACAACTAAAGAAAATATCTTTTTAGAAATTTTATAATATAAATATTTTGGTATTTCAATTATTTTAGTTTAAATTTGCAATTGAATATTCTATTTTTATATTTATATAGCTTTCTGAAAAAAAATTATTTATCCTTCCGCAATCGCCTACAACCGCAAACGCTAACTACAAATGACTTTTAAAATTTAGAGACTCAGAGCGATTTGAAGCAGTTTATAGTGCTTTTTGTAATTGTTGTAAAACGCCAACAACCGCTTCTAACCAGCAAAGCTGCGTTTGCGAGTGATGGCGGAAGAACAACGGTCAGTGGTGGACTTAACTGCCGTTTTCTTACATTTAATCAAACTTACATAACGTTACAGTGTTTTCTAAACCACACGAAACGTAAACTTAAATAATGAAGACGGCGTGCTGTTGTCTAAATAATAACTAGGTCTAAAGTTTGAAGACTCGAGAGATCGCTAATCTCTCGCGAATCGGAATGGACTCGTACCAGCAACCGCGTCCGTACATGCGACCACCGTCTGTACCACCGCCACCACCGTCGGATCCTTACCACCAATACTATCAACAACATACAGCGAGGCCACCGTTACCTCCTCCTCCACAGCCCGGTGGCTACTCCAATCAATTCCATAGCCCTCACTCTCCATCGCCACCACCGCAACACTGGGGACCACCACCACCACAACCTCCTGGCTATCATCCTTACCCGATTCACCCTCACCCCGCCAACGGTAACACTCAGTTTCCCGCGCCACGTCAGCCGTATCCGCAGGTAACGTTTGCTCCATTCGTTGGATTGATCTTTGTTGATTTCTTAGATTTGATTTTTTTTTGTTTATATTAGGAATGGTCTCAGCAAGGTCACACCCCTCAAGGTTTGTTTTCTTAATCAATTTTATTGAGTGAGTATTTGGGGTTTAGTTTTTTCTGATTAATCTTTGTGATCGGCAACACAGGTAATAGTAACGTTGAGGATTGGGGACTAAAGGCTAAAGAATGGGCTGCAACGAGTCAACCTAGTGGACAAGTCTACCAGCAATACCCTAATCATAGCTATCAAGATGTTCAGGCTCCAGGGTTAAGCTATCAGCAGCAGTTTCCTCCAGCTCCACAGACTGAGAGATATCCAAATTACGCAACAGGAAACGAGAGTTTCTCACTTAATCAAGAAAACATGCCTACCAGTTCGGTTGTTCATCAGCAGGAGGTACCTTATAGTTATTCTTCTGTTGCAGGTAACCTTTTACTTGGAACATCAATCAATCTAGCTCCTAGTAACTTGACCTTAAGTCTTTGATTAATCATATACATAGTGTTTGTGCTGTGCTAGAACGATCCATGTATAGGATCATAGATTAGACATTAGCAATCATTCTTCTCCTTGTGCTGAATAGGGAACGATAGTTCGGTTGGGGAGAGACTGTTTAAGCTGTTTACACCTCCAGAACTTAGACTTGTTATTCTGTTTGTAGGGAAAGAAGAATCTGGGAATGCAACACAGCATCATGTGCAGATGGGAGTGCCTGATGGTGGGGGACCTGTTCGCGCAGATCAGCAAATGCAATATGCATATGGGGATCAAGCAGCGGCCCCAGTTAGTAACCTTCACGACCAGCCTTTACAGTTTGCTAATCATCATAATACGTGGATGCCCCATGCCTCAGCCGGTGTAGTATATCCTCCTATTCCTTCATCGGTACCTTCAATGCCAGAGGTACTCTTAACGGTTTTGGTTATATCTTCCATTTTTGTATTGGTTGGTTCGAGAGTGGCAAGTCTGATGTATGGTTTCTTGGCAGCATAATTCATCTATGGCTATGCCTCCTGTTACGGGTCATAACATGCCTCAGTTTGGAGGGTATACACCACCAAATCTCCAGCCTGGTGGACCCCCTTATGATTTTGGGACAAGGCCTCCTCTTCAGCCTGTTACTGCTTTCATGGACGAATCATATGCAGCATCGTCTGTTCCTTCTAAAAACGTAAGAAAAAATTGATTATAGTGTAGTTGAGTACCTTCCATGAATTATGTCTAATAAGGTGTTTTCCAGGTTCATTTACCTAACTGGCTCAAGGAAGAGTTATCGAAGATCAAACCATCTCTTGGAAAGCCTTCTTCAGGGAGTTTTGAGGAGAGAGAGCCTATGGATGACGATGTACTTTATAAACCTCCCGAGAAATTTGAACAGCGTGACGACAAAAGGTTCAGCGCGTCTAAATCTTCCGACGAAGAAGAAGAAGAAGAGGAGGATGAGGTTCTTTGAACTTAAACATTGTTTCATAGTTGTTGTTTATGACAATTCAAGCTCCCCTGGTACTTACAACTTTATTCAGCACCCTCATGTAATTGTATGGTTTGCTGTATGTAGGATGAGATGGATGCAGCTAGAAGCACAGCAATTAACTCGGAGATAAAGCGTATCTTGACTGAAGTTCTTCTCAAGGTAGGTAGCCTGATAGAAATTGGTCTATGAACACATTTTCGCAACAGTTGACATATTTTTTTTAAACAGGTTACAGATGAATTATTTGATGAAATTGCAACCAAAGTCATTAATGAAGATGAAGCAATACAAAAAGGTTTGCTTTCGTCCTCAATATTTATGCTATTAGTCCGTGGAGTAACTACTGAATATTCCATCTTGTTTGCTGTTATTCTGTGCTATTCATCCTTGCTTTAGATGACTATGTCCAGCACAAACCTAACTCATCATCATCTCCTTTGTTGGCAGCTGATCCAATGCACAAGGCTTCGGCAAAGATTTTGGTCTCAGTAGAAGGCGCAGATAAAAAAGCAGATGTTCTAGGCCTTGCTAGCTATGCGTCTGACGATGATGATGCCGATACTGATGCTGCCTCTAACGCTGATGCGGATGGCAGTGATGTAGTTGAAAGTCTTGGCATGGGGTCGAGAAACGATGTTACTCAGCAGCCAAGCGCGGATAATCCTCCTGAACCTAAAGCAATGGTCGATGCGAGATCAAATCCAGAAGTTGTAGCCGGTGACGTATCCCCCAAGAACAATAAGTCAGGCTTGGATCAAATGTCGGGATCCAGACGAAATTCATTCAATGAAGGTAACAAAAATGTTAATGGAAGTGCCAGCTCTGATGATACTTCAGGATGCAGAACAAACAATCCCGACAGAACAGTCAGTGATAAAGAAGCAATACTAGATCAGCCTCACAGGAAGAACTCTGGCTTGGAATCAGATTCTAACCTTCGTCAGGATAGCAATAAAAGTTCCGGTAAAGACTCGAGTGACGATTTGAGTAGGGATAGAAGTAGAGGAGATGAGATGAAAACTGGAAAAGAGAAGGGAGATTCTCAGAATGGCTCAAAAGATAGAGTGAAGCAGAAGGACATAAAGTCAGCAGAGGAAGTTAAAGGGTTTGAATTAGATAAAAAATCTACTGATCTGGATGTAAAAAAGAAGGACTTGAGGGATGCAGAGAGGTCTCACAGAACAAATTCTAAGGAAGACCGTGGTAAAAAGAGGGAGAAGGAAAAGGAAGAGCGGTCAAGACACAGACATTCTCAAGACTCGAGCAAAGACAAAAGAAGACGTTCTCCTGGATCCTCTGATGATTCAATAAGGTGGCATAGGATACATAAGTTGCATTGAGTTTATTTAGCAATGTTTTTCAGTACTCACAGTGATTGTTTTTGCCTTTCTTCAGGAAGTCCCGTTCAAGAAAAAGGAGTATTTCACCATCTCCTGTGAGGTCCAGAAGAAAACGTGCTTCTCCATCGAGTGATGAATCCTCTGATGATTCAAGAAGGTAGCAATAGACTATTCTGCTTTGAGTTATGTTCTTTTACCCTTCTTATGTCAGATGCTAACGCTCTTTTTTTCGGCCTTCTTCAGGAAGTCGTCTTCTAGAAGAAAGAATCGGTCTCCATCTCCCGGAAGGTCCAGAAAAAGGTAATGTTTTCTATACTGCATTTTGAGATCACTAGTTTTGTTAGTCTATATTTGGATTAGACTCTGTGAAATTAGAGAGCTTTTGAAAGCAAAAGTTTGAACGAAAGAGATATGGCTAAGCATCGTTCCAAAGCGGAATAAGGTAGCATGAAAACTCACAGAGACAAAATATTATATATGTTTTGATTGTATAGACATGTTACTTCGCGGTCACCACATAGCAAGCATTCTGAGAACAAGCACACTCTCTACTCTTCTCATGAAAAATCTCGGTACGTAATCTCAACTCCACATGTTACTACTCTCATGACAGGTGGTGAAAGAAAGCCAGAACTTATGTTTTTTTCCTTTAGTTAAAAAGACCACTTGCTACCTTCTGCTTGTTCAATGGAAACTCAAATATGGTTTGTTATACAGGTCAAAGCGGTCAAGGTCGAGATCCCCTCGCAGGCGGCATCGTGCTTAATGAACACAGGTCAGGACAGTGATGTGCGCAGAGATTTGGTGATTCTGGATGTGCCTTAGTTGATCAACGGGGTTGGGTTATGAGTATAAAAAGCCACTCAATGTCCAAAGATTTTTTGACTGTTTGTTCTGATTTGACTATGTAGTGTGTGGTTGAATAAGCTTTTTACTCTGTAATTGTATCGTGCAAACTTGTTGATGGTCATATGTGTGAGTTCCCAGAATCATCACCATTTTCACTGCTCTCCAACTTTTCTACTTCTGCTAAATCCTTACAACCACAAATTTGTCTCCCTGTCTTCTTGATTCCACTAATCTACCATTACTTGGATGTTCATAGGTCATATCAAGTGTCAACATATGTATTCTTATTTCTCTTTGACGAGCAAATTAGAGCAACTAACAAAATTGAATTTATAGATGAGTTGTGTCTCATACTTTGTAGCTAATTAGTATCAAATGTTATTCAAAGTGTGATTATTAAAAAGAATAAAACAAAACAATTATAATTTTTAACTCGATACCTGGTTCATCGTTAATTTGTTGGTTCAATTGAGTAATTATTACATACCATGTTTTAATATCCTCGCAAGTTAAAAAAGTTACAGTATACCCCTCCAACTTTTCAATATTTAGAAAACCTACTATATTACACTCACCAACAAAAACAAAACATTCTTAATAACAAACCCTAGTTCCGCATAAACCCCTCCTTGTCCGATCATCCCTACCTTACGCCGCCGTATCTCGAATTCAAGATGCAGCATGACGAGGTTATATGGCAAGTCATCAGACACAAACACTGCAGTTACATGGCCAAGTAAGCTCTTCTTTACTCCGTCTCTCTCTCGAGTATACCTCTTCCGACATCTTTGAACTGGATTTGAGTTTTGTTCCTGGTCTGCTTTTACCTTTATAGAATCGAAACAGGAATCTTCTGTAGAAACCCTTACAACGTAACAGGAATCTGCAACCGTAGCTCTTGTCCTCTCGCTAACAGCCGTTATGCCACCATTAGAGACCACGATGGTAACTACTACTTCTTGTCTGAAACTCAAAGTTTACATTTTTATATTTGTTGTCTTCCTCTGTTTAGATTATTTCCTCTGTTTTGCCAAAAAAGGTGTTACTCTACTTGTCTGAAACTCAAAGTTTACATTTTTTATATGTTTTGTGTTCCTCTGTTTAGATTATTTCCTCTGTTTTGCCAATTAAGGTGTTACTACTACTTGTCTGAAACTCAAAGTTTACATTTTTATATGTTTTGTGTTCCTCTGTTTATATTATTTCCTCTGTTTTGCCAATTAAGGTGTTACTACTACTTGTCTGAAACTCAAAGTTTACATTTTTAAATGTTTTGTCTTCCTCTGTTTTGATTATTTCCTCTGTTTTGCGAAAAAAGGTGTTTTTTATTTGTATATGAAGACAATAGAGAGAGCCCATATGCCTAAGGACTTATGGGAGAGGGTTAAGTTACCAAGAAACTATGAGAAGGCTCTTGAAACCATTGACAAGCACTTGGTAAGTGGACCTTTGTACATAGATTTTTTTATGCAAACAAGATTTGATTCTGTTGTGTTGTTGTTGTAGTTGTATTGGCCTAAGTTGTTACAGCACAAGATCAAACAAAGATTGACGAAAATGACTCAGATGCGTATTCGGATGAGGAAGCTTGCTCTCAAAACAAGGTTGGTTCTCTCTCTCTTTCAGAAGTGGTTGTCTTTCTTCTTTTTGTTGTATGTTGATGGTTTTTGATTTGTGTGTTTATAGGGAGAAGATTATGACTACTCCTAGGAGGGATATTAAGAGGGAATCAAGAAGAGAGGAGAAGGCTATTAAAGCAGCTGTGTTGGATAAGGTCATTATCTATTTTTTTGGTTTTTTTTTCTTTTGTTCATAACTTATAAGTTGGTCTTGTGGACAGGCTATTGAGACTGAGTTGCTGGAGCGTTTGAAGAAAGGTATTTATGGTGATATATACAATTACCCTGAGCTTGAGTGGAACAAGGTTCTTGATGAAGAAAAGCAAGTGGCTGAGAATGTTGAGGAAGAAGAAGAGGTACCCTTTTTTCAAAGCTTACACATTAAAAAATATTGATTATGTGTTATTTTCTATGTTTTGTAGACCTTTTTTTACAGAGATTTTTTTGTTGAATTGAATTCAGGAGGAACCAGAGATTGAATATGTTGAAGGCTATGAAGAACTTGAGGAAGAGGAAGATATGGAAGATTTCTCTGGTTTTCCATCTAATGTGTCTGGCTATGATGATAATGAACATGGTAATAACATCCTTTTGAAATCCATTCCTCCCTTGTGAGTTTTTAGTCAGGTCAGGTCTTTGCTCATGGTGGATTATTTACAAAGCTACAAACTATATCTTACAGATTCAGATGATGAGGAGGAAGATGATGAGGAGCAAGTTGTGATTCATAAAAAAGGAAAAAGAGATTCAAGAAAGTCTGATGATGTTGGAAAATCAAAGAAGAAGAAGAGAGTTGTTGTTGAGGTGAGATTCACACTAACTAGCTAAGCTGATTCCTTTTTAAGTGTTTTAACTTAATTTGTGATTTGTGCTGTCCGTATCATCATCTTATCTTATGTCTGTGTATCTCTTTTCAGGTTGAGCAAGAAGATGGAGACGTGAGACGAACTCTGTTAACCTCAAGCCGAGCTTAGAGGCCACCTGAAGCTTGCTGAAGAAAAGGAGCTTTTTTTGTTTTGTTATGTTACAAAAGCCGAAAGGTTTCTTCTTGACAGTGTTACTGTTGAAAGCCAATGCTGTAGAAGTTAATTTTGTTCTGACGTTTGAATATTTATTATGTACTTTGTTGAAGTCATGCATTTACTTTGATATAGAACTGAAATACTCATCACATAAGATGGAATCACAGAGTTATGTCCTTGGCTCTTTTGTTTTTTTTTCTGATGTTTCGTTTTGAAATTTACTTCACCAATTTAAACATTTTACTTGAGAATGTGGGAGGTGTACGGTGCTCGAACTGCTCACTACGGGTTTGATTTCATCTCTCCTGTTTTGGAGACGTGCTTGTCAAACTAAATTAGTTGAAAAAGGGCAGGAGATTGGTGTTGTACAGATCATCTTTGATAGGTACATGATCAGGTGTTATTACATCAACTTTAGAAGAAACTCAGATATGTTTTGAAGTGTGATCACAACACAAGAGGCAAAAGGCTCCAAACGTCACGTTGGATTCATAAAGTGTTTGGTGATCATCACAGTGAAAGTTTTGATGGATCAGGATCATTATCACGTTGGTAACTATAGTGAAGAAAAACTAGTGATGATGGATGATTGGTTTGCTTCAAAATTAAAGATGATAGATACTATATGTTTGGATTCTATTGTTTTTCTCCTCTTTGGCTGGCTTGATGATTTTTCATTTTTACTTTAAATTATCGACCATGAGAGGTCTATCATAGAAGAGTAACTAATATGCTTATGGATAATACTATATGTTCTAGTTTTGTATGTTGAACGTTGAATACTTACAAAGACAATAATCAAGCCTTCTCCATTTTTAATAGTTTTTACACTACTAAAGACAACAAGGGTGTAAGTATTTCGTTGTTAACAGTGTATTAATCTAATTTAATGATCGTTATTCGTTATTGTTCGAAAGTGTTATCATTCCAGTTCAAGTATGGGTTTTTTTCTCAAAAAAAAAGAGAGAAGAAAGTGTGTTATGTGGTTCTATTTCTTTTCCAACAAATAACTATTCTATGCTACCAAAAAAACAAATAACTATTCTAAGCCAAACCGGTGGTTGGTTCTATGGCTTTGGTTACTGTAATATTAATTCGGTGATAGCAAAAAGCATTACAAAGGTTATGATATTTTCTGGTGGGTTAGGTTATAATAGTTACATACTTGCTGTTAATATCTTAAATTGTCATAAATGGAATAAAATAAAAAATTGAATAATTAGTGGCAGTAATTGAATGATGAAACATGCCAGTAGAATAAAGTCGAATGATAATAATATAAATAAAAAATAAAAATAAATAAATAAAGTGAGAGGAGGTTGCAAAATAACGAGCGTGATATCACCGGCACTTGACCAACTCTCTTTCTTCTTCCATTATATTTCCCGTATCATGAACAGTTGGTAGGACTCTCTCTTCTCTCTTCTCTTCTTTATTCGCTGAAGCCTTCAGATAACTGCCTGAAAATCTCCGACTATAATCTCAGGCGATGAGTACTGAGGAAGAGAAGGTCGTTGGTAAGTTCTAATCCATTTTCCTTGGAAGTTTTCTGATTTTGGAGGAATCTAGCCATCTAGGGGTTCTATTTTTTATTTATGAGCTGAAGAGATATTATTGTTCACTCTTCAACCTTTGTTTTTGTTTGGGTTGCAGTTCCAAGAAACTTTAGATTGTTGGAAGAGCTAGAAAGAGGTGAGAAAGGTATCGGTGATGGAACCGTGAGCTATGGAATGGATGATGCCGACGATATTCTCATGCAGTCTTGGACTGGCACCATCATTGGTCCTTATAGTGTACCTTCCTTTCTTCTCCTCCAACTCTGCATCTTAATTACCTCCTTATTATATAATTAATATCTGTCTTAAATTGATTTTTTTTTTTTTTTGGAATTACTACAGCAACATGTGTTACAATGTTCCCTTGTCTAGATATAAGTTTCTGTTAAGTTAGGGTTTAACTGCAAATGAATCCTTAGCTGCGTTTTAACTGTATGGAGCTTATACTAGTTTTGGTAAATGTGGAGAGAGACCAAAAGAAATATGTATGTTTCCACTTTTGGCATCTGAGATGTTTTTTTTTGTTTTATGTGAATTATCAGACTGCATATGAAGGAAAAATATTTCAACTCAAGCTTTTCTGTGGAAAGGATTACCCACAAAACCCACCTACTGTGAGGTTCCAGACCCGGATTAACATGGCTTGTGTTAACCCTGATAATGGAGTGGTAAGCTTAAACAACAACCAATATTAATGGTGATTGTTTTGTATGTTTGTTTTTCCTAACAAGCTGAGTCAAATCAAAACGATCAGGTTGAACCGAGTCACTTCCCTATGCTTTCCAACTGGAAAAGAGAATACACCATGGAAGATTTACTGATGCAGCTTAAAAAAGAAATGATGTCACCTCAGAACCGCAAGTTATCTCAACCGTTGGAAGGTAATTATCTTTCAAGTGGAATCAGGAATTGTGCATTGTATCTTGTTTTGAAATGTAGCAAACTTTTTACATTTGACCGGTTTAAAGCAATTCCTAGCTTTCCTAACCAAAACTGAATGTCTCACCATCAGGTAATGAGGAAGGGAGAACAGACCCAAAGGGACCTGTGGTGAAATGTTGTGTCATGTGAAGGATAAGGTAAAATGAGGAAATTTGTAAGAGAAATTAAAGAGGCAAAACAGTGTACATATAAACATCAGATTTTAACGCTTTGGACATTGTCTGCCACAGGCCTTAATCCTTCCATTTGACGATCTATTATGTAATGTTATGAGAATATATATTTTCCTACTAAACTCTACTTCTTCTTGTTCACCATTTTTTGTTTGCATATATATTTGTGTGTGTGTGCCCAGGCTGATAGGAAAAGGAGGTTGAAGAGGTCATCAAAAGAAGAGACTTTGCATAGATATCTGGAAAAGTAAAAGGTTGGAGGGTGGGAAAGCATATTTTACTTTTAAATTTTTGGCAGAATCATGAAACTTGTTTCTAGTCATGCAAGTGATGCTAGCTAATCTTGATCTTGCAGTAACCAAACATTTTATAAGTAAATTTACCAGACAACAAAAGTACTTGAGTGATTGTAAATGTCAGTGTACTTCAGGAAGCGATACGTTTTTTCTATTAGTTTAGATGCAAAACAAACTTGACAAATTAGTAGAGAAAGATGAGCTTGTTTAAAATGTTATTAGTAAACATAATGGTGTTGGCTTGATATTGCATATTAGCTAATAGTCTAAAAACTTTAAATGTAACAAAAGAATTTAACAGACTATTTGGCTCTCAAAAGTATGTAACTCTGCTTGTGGTTTTTTTTTCGTTTTTTCTGTGTAATTTAATTTTAAAATGGGTATTAAATTTAACATTTTATCAAAAAAGGTCACATGGTGTAATAATGTTAAACTATCTGGCGATTTAAATATTCAATGAATTAAACAAATATATTATTCAAAAATTGTTGTAAAATATTATTAAAATATAAGTAGAGAAGACGTTTTCATAAGAATGATATAAGCAGCACAAATGTAATTGTTTACGTCAAAAATAACCTCTAAATTTAGCTAATGCATCTGAATTTTCAAATTTGTTTGTCTTTGTCTTCTTTGTTTGTTTTCAGCCCAATAATTCACACGTAGCAATTAGAGCATCTCCAACCCCACTCCATATTTTACTGCAAAATGGAGTGGAGAATGGAGTAATGAAGAAACAAAAATCTCATTACTCCATATTTGGAGTAATCACTTTTTTGTTTCTTCATCACTCCATTTCCCACTCCATTTTGTAGTAAAATATGGAGTGGGATTGGAGATGCTCTTACCCTCTATTATTACGTGTTAGGTTGTCTATTGTGGATTCGGTGATAAATAGATCCGTATGATGTCATTTTTTTCCTTTTCTTTGTAGAAGAATGATAGTGCAATATAAGTTATAACTGAAATGGATTATAACATAAAAAAGGGAATGTTTTTGGTAATTTGTAGAAGCAACGATCTATACCAAATGTGAATGTGGAGAAAGAAGTTGTAGCGTTGTCATCGCCAGCCTTTGGCTTTGGACAAGACAAGAGATCAAAGCATAAAGAATCCGTTGCACTCGGCTTTACGCAATGACATTTTGATTAATGCACTCATCCAATGCGTGTGAATTGTTGATACCGTTTCTTAAAGCCTATCTTGAAATTCCTCCATTTTAAATTAGTTTTATTAAAATCAAGTCTCAGACTGTATACACTTTTCAAAATCTCTTAACTTTTAGTTTTATATCATTGAAATGTACAGTATTTTTAGAAAAAAAAACTAACTGTTTTGTAATCGACATGAAAACCATCCACATCTTCCACTTTTACCAGTTGTTTGACAGAATATGTAGGCAGATTATAACAACAAAATTATTTTAAAAAATTAACCCATATTCTTGTCAAGATCAATAGTTGATAGTATATGTGTAAGCATAAACTTTTACTTTCATACAATACATAACATCTAAATCTGAATTTTAAAGATGGCTAACCAGCAGAACTTACTACATTTAAAATCTTAAATTTGTATTTTATAATTAATATAGACTATATCATACAAGTGTTATCACCCTACCGATCGCCAACATAATAAGAATTCAAATGCGAAAATGTTAAAAGAGATAGATGAACTTAGTCATCCATACTCGTCAAAATCTCAATAATTAAAGTTTGTTGGTTTACTTTATAAAAGAGATAGAAAAACAACGAAAATATGATATCACCATAAGAAAAACACCTGTCTGTTGTATTATCCTTTTCATAATTTGTCTATGGAAAAACGCACTTTGCAATTTATTAATTTAATCATATATCTGTCCACTATAGCTGCATTATCATCAATTTGAACTCCTTCGCGGATAAGTAATGTGAAGCACGATTATTACTTAAAAAGAATATATGAGCTCATCACCCAATTTTGTATAGGGATTAAATATAGATCGTTAACTTCTAAATCTTAAATTCATCTATTTTATATCGATTGTCATTTTAGATTAACATTTTCGTTTTTTAAAGTTATTTGAATAAAAACTATTTTATTTGTCTCGAGTCAACAATAAAATAAACGAGTTGTTAGTCATGAATATAAGTTCACCAATAAAATATGTTTGTAACATATATACCTCATGTGATCGATTTATTCTAAACATGTTGGTTCATATTTTTGGGGTAAAACATTGTTTTTAACATTTATTCGAAATGGAGTATGAATGTATGATAACGTGCGACAATAGTTTGTTACAGACGCCGTCGTCGGCTTTGTGAGACGGACAAAATACGGCAAACTTTGCAATTTAATAGAAGCACATGAACGGTATAATTATTAAAACGATTGATTAAAAAGAAGTTTTGCCAGTAAAGGGTGATGAAATATTTTTAAAATATTTACAGAAAGAAAAAGCAAACAGCCAGTAATTGATCAAAACATTAAGTATTTTCCGAGATTGAATAATTGAGAATTATATCGAGGGAAAACTGAAGTCAAATAAAAACGGAATGGGCTATGCATCAGCGAAAGCTACGTGGTGCATGAATGAGACCAATAATAAATGCCTGACGCTTCCCACTTATTTTCTCGTCTACGTATACAACACATAATAATATAAAAAAAAATACAGATCGAATCGTATCTGATTGCACTATTATCGTTATTCATACAATAATATAAAAAGATAAAGAAACCGTGTGTTTCGCCATTCTCTTTTCACCTTTCTGTTCCTTCTCTCTCTCAACCATTTCCATTTTGCTGTCTCTCTGATCATGGCTTCCTCTGCATCCACTGGTACTCGTCACGTTCTCATTCTCAATTTCATGTTTATGACTAAGCATATGTAACCATAGTAATAACGTTTTGTGTTGTTTCTTTAAGAAGTGAAATTTGTACCAGAAGAAGATAATTTCTTGCAAAGACATGTGGCCTTCTTCGACAGGAATAAAGATGGCATCGTTTATCCCTCAGAGACATATCAAGGTACCGTCTTCGTGAAAAGTAAATTCGGCCAAAATGGCTTAACAAGTTTCTTGAGAACTTTTCATTTTCGTATGTCATGTGTGGCTCTTATGGTCTAATTGTGACTCTAATCTCTAACTAAAGTACGTTTTGATGTTATTTTACTGATTTGATTGTTGGATCATGATAAACAAACACAAGAACAGGGTTTAGAGCAATAGGGTGTGGGTATCTCTTGTCGGCATTCGCTTCTCTGTTCATCAACATGGGTCTAAGCAGCAAAACTCGTCCGGTAATTGTGAAAATTAACTATTACTATTTACTTTGATAAAAAATACTATTAGTATTTACTAATACAGTTAAAAATTATATATTGATACATGTAATCAAATACTTTATTGCAAAAGTCAAAAACAAAAGGAATCAATGATGTGTGTTTTGATTTGCAGGGAAAAGGTTTCTCTTTATCATTTCCTATAGAGGTTAAGAATATCCATCTTGCCAAACACGGCAGCGATTCAGGCGTTTACGACAAGAATGGAAGGTATCTTCTTCTCTTGTCAATTTATATTACATAATATCCAACAGTTATTAGATTTTATCCTCTATGTTTAATAATATAATTAAACTGTTTTAACTAAAAGAAAAAATGCTAAAAATCTATACTATTATTTTCCCTCAAATCTTTTATTAAACCACTAAATTCATTAGAATTCAGTTTTTTTTTTTTTTGAGAAAATTAGAATTCAATTAGCTATGAAAACTTGCCAGATAAAATTAGTTGTACAGTATCAAATAAATATGAAAGTTATATAGAATTGGGAGATAAATCTTATTTATTTTTGTTAATAAACTAATTTGTTTGTTTTGTTATGATAAAAACTTTTGGAGATTTGTGGAATCAAAGTTCGAGGAGATATTTGCAAAGCATTCAAAGACACATCCTGATGCATTGACGAACAAGGAACTCAAAGAACTCCTCAACTCAAACAAAGAGGCTAATGACCGTAAAGGAGCGTAAGTACTCAAACCGGTTCGGTTTATTGCCAGTTTAATTTCTGCTCTTTACCAAAACCGAACCAAGATTTGTATGGATCCGGTTATGAATAGTAGTAATAGGTGAATTAATAAATTTGCAGGTTTGCTTCGTTTACGGAGTGGAAGATCTTGTATTATCTATGCAAAGACAAGAACGGTTTGTTGCACAAAGATACAGTGAGAGCTGTCTATGATGGCTCTCTTTTTGAAAAACTCGAGAAACAAAGAGCTTCTAAGAAACATGCTTAAACCACCATTTTAAAAACAAACTCTTATATGCTTGTGATTTGTGAATCTGTGTTTATTTATAGAACTTTTTATTAGTGAACAACGGTGTGAAGATTGTAACGTTTGATTTTCAAAAATTTATACTTTCCTTTTGGTGTGTATTTGATTAATTGTTTATGTTCTTATCTCTTCCAATAAATGATTATATACGTCAAATTGAAGATTAATTTCAGTTTCCATATATTGATTTCTGGTCGCGAAAAGTATACAATTAGTAATTATGAGTGTTTGGTCGTTAAACAAAATATCATGGAGCTTGTCACTAACATCTATTGCAATCGCATTATGGATTTTCAAAACATCTTTTAAAAAAAAAAAAAATTAAAAAAAATGAATTGCGGGTTGCTATATGTCAGTGGAACCCGCAAACAGTATAGAAAACCATGAAAAACGTTTCTTGTTCAGGAACAATAGGAGACAATTTTGACAAAAAGATGGTGGAATCCACGCATAAGAACATCCGCCCACCACCCGATAATCCTGCTTTAAGTATGATTGTGGATCCTGACCAAACCCAATTTGGATACCCCAAAAGAAAAACAATTGAACGCGATTCTTCGCCCATTGTTTATATCATACTATCACATTAAGTTGGGCCTGAATGAAAACAGACGGATCGACCTTCAACTAGTGCCGGCTTAGAAGGGGGGCAAACATGGCAAAAACCCAAGGTTCATCTTAAAATCATATAAATTTATAAAGAAAATGGGTCTAAAATTTTTTTTTCTTCACAAAAAGAGTCCAAAATTTTTTTTTTCTTCATGGGTCCATTATATTGTTAAGATGGCCTGCCTTCAACCATCATCGTCTGCAAGCTTGAGTTGCATGCAATGTCACACATATGCGGCGTGAAATAAAGCCACCATACAGGCATGTTTAGCCATCAACAAAAAACTCTTCAACAAAGAGATCTACGATGTGATACAAGACATCATCAATCTCTGGCTCTTTTTGTTAACCTATCTTTATTTTCAGTCTCTAGGCTGAGAATGAAATAACAAACCTTTTAGCAAAAAAACATTTTCAGAACCCAAGTAGTGTAATGGGCTCATTGATGGGTCAGAACCTCTTTCTAATTAAAACAATTGCAAGTTATCCGAAAAGAAAAAAAAAATTGGGCATGAATGATCTCCACAAGGGGATTTTACTCGAGTCATATACAGTTTCCTAACAAGGGTAACAAAAAATTACTGTTAAACAAGCACATGTGCTGATTATATGCACTCAATGTAGATCCTCTGCATTGAACGGTGACGAAGCAAGCATAAATCCAAAGCAAAAAAAAAAAAAAAGATAATGATATTGGGAATAACGGAAGAGTGGAAACATGTTTTTCTAAGAAAACGTGAGCATGTCAAATGACCAATGTTTACTTATATTTGATCGAGATAATGTTATCCCTGCTGAATGATTTGAACAGAGCAAAGGAACAAATCAAAACATGAATATAGAAACGAAGACAGATGATCATATCAGACATATGCTTATTGTTAGGTTGTGTCTAATCTACCATGTGTAGTGTTACATTCTCTTATACAGATAACTTTTGCTCAAAGGGACAGTCCGTGATAGAGTGGGTGAGTTTTAAAATCCTTTATTCCTCAAAAAACAATTAGATGCTGACAAACTATGTCTTATCCATTACCATAATTAATATACTTTCAAATATGGCATTGATTAATTTCTATAAACCCCCCCCCCCCTCTTTTTTACACATTCAGAATATGGTGATCTCCATATGTATACAATTGTAAACAAAAATCATAAAATCAATAAGACTTGAAACAAATTATGTTTATATATATATGTATGATTCTTTCTTGTTACACTTGTAAACAGATCCACTCATTGATGCGTAAGAAGAGAAAAGTTATATATGATCTTGTTTCAAACATTTTCATGTGAAAGTAGGCAAACTTTGACAAGAAGAAAAGAAAACTGAGGGAACTTGATCTTGTCACTTTGTAACATAGCTTTTGAATCGAATTTTTGATGGAATCAAGACGATCCTGATTATGATTTGTAAGCAGGGATTATCTTTAATTAATCAAACAATAGCTGAAATATCAAAGTCCTTTCAACTCTGTATTAGTTAATGGGTAGTTACTAGTTATATTGAATGAATGAGTCAACCGTATTAGGTTAATCTAAATTCAAGAACTCCACAATAAGATTTTTAAATATTTTTTCAAGAAATAGACCAACGACTTATATATCAAGTCAAACACGAAATTACTCACCAAAATCCCTTAATCTCTGCATCAGTTTAATACCTCCCAAGTCTAATATTCTTTCTGTATGGAAATGATTACGGTTCCATCCGCCAAGGAAGAAAAAAATCTGTTTTGATTATTCACTGACGTTGAAATTAACAAACAAGTTGTGAACTTTGTATACATCTTAGTCTCGATGGGTAAATTAAGAAATGTTTAGCCCAGGTACAATTTAAAAAAAAAATAAATGTTCATATATTTTGATAACGTAACTTTTCCTTAGGTAGGGCCATGTTCGTTAGTGAAAATATGACACAACTTCTAGTCTGTCCTTTTTTATTCTTATGTTACGTCAAAATAAAATAATGTTTTGGAAAGTAATATGATTGATCAAAACAAGTAAACAACCATGTAATCACCAAAAACTTTCTGCGATCAATTATGTCATCTAAACTATTTGGTAATTATTTTAACTCCTTAACTAAATCGAAATAGATACGTTGTATTGTTACATTATTGTCATTGTATCATTGTTTGGTACTCATTAGTATAGCTAGTAACGTTCTAGTATCATATATGCTTCCTTTGTAAACAAATTACATGCATGTCGTATTTGATTGATCAAAAACAATAAGGATAGAGGATCTGCTACGGCACATTTTAGACATCTAGAACACACGCAGACCGTATATGTTGTAATGTTTTGGTAATTGGAACTTGAGCAATGAGATTAGCTGTGTTACTGTCCTATTATAACAACTTTTGATTTGGCTAAATTAGGAAGACTTTAGTGTTATATACCGCATGTCAACACCAGCTATGATCAATTAACTACTCAAAATATATGCAAATAATAATACAATTACTTGTACATATATAGCTAAAATCAAGACAAGTAATTAACGTTCTAAGACTGAAAGTTAGAACATAACAATAAAGATTGTGTAGCGCTCGTTACAAATACTACTAATGGTTTGTTCTCGAAACTATTTTCAGGTTGAAACAGAAAGTCAAAGAAGTAGCAAATGTCTATAACAATCTATAGGCAATAAATTAAAAGTCTTTACAATCGTTGGTGATTTGTTTTTAAGAACCACACAGAAGGTCAAAGCCCATTATTGTCTTCTCTATCTGCGTTTACCGGTCCCGTAACTAAACTTTGACATTGGAAGCTTTCTTAATTGTTTATCTATTTTCCTTTTATGTGAATGTGAATTTATTTCTGCTAAAGTTTAGTTTCGAAAGTGCCTTTTGGACGGCTAAAACATCTTCATTGGTCCCCAAAATCAGTCTCATACATAAATTAAAAGAAAGATGACCAACACGCCAATATCCCTTTCGATATATATAATTAATTTTCATCTTCTGAAATCATTTTCATGTAACATTGCCTATTCAAACTCTATACGCTATACTATATAAGTAATAACCATAACTCGTTTTCATGACGTATAGTCTTCATTACTTGGTAATATTCATAGTCTTTGTAACCAAGAGACACAACATGGCCATTGTATATATAATTCTAAACATAATGCTAGAAGCTTCTTCGTATCATCATCTTGTTGAAGACAAACTAGACCGAGAATGTGAAACCGATTGAGAGAGAAATTCAAGTGGGAAGCAAAATTAACAAATATATATGTCAAGAAATTTGTATCAAAATTAATCCCCCCAAATATTACCTTTATATACGCCTTCAAACTCCACAGAAGAGCACCATTCACTATAAGAAACTACCTCTAGTTTCTGGCTTATAGAAAGGGTAATTAAACTGCACCAAATGTTAGCAAAAAAAAAAGAGGGTAATTAATTAATAATATGGAACAGCGTATGGTATATGTAGAAGCTAACGAGTCCATTCGCACAAGTCTTCACTACTGTCAAAGTCAAATTCTGAATCCAGATGAGTAAAAAGATATACATGCAATAAACAAAAACTCTAATGGACATTAAATTAATTAATTATATGCACATTGCAAAATTCTACAATAAAGCACTAATCAATTATACAAGTCTGAGCGGAGAAAGAGTTGTTGTATTTTAGTGATTTCAATAATATATGGGAATAATTACAAATTGTGGAAAATTACTTAACAACGTCCACCAAAAAGATACAAACAAAAAAAACCATGCAACATGGAAACTACATATATGTTAGTCCATTCTTTACGTCAATTCTCTTTAAAGCAAACTCTTCGCTCCTCAACTTCTATTTTACTCTCCCCAAACACTTCCTCCTTTGAGTCACCAAATCATATCAAACATGTTGAAAACAACAACGATGATGACCCTTCTCACCGCCCTCTTCCTGATGGACCTAACTTCATCCACCGCCACATACACACCAACTTCCTCCGCCTCCACAGAAACGTACATATTTGCAAAGTGTACTCCCGAAAAGTTCTCTCCTGGCTCCTCCTTCGAGACCAACCTCAACTCCCTCTTCTCTTCCCTCGTCAGCTCCACCGTCGCAAGCCGCTACAATAACCTCACCGTTGGTGGAAAACCCGAGCCGGCCGCTACCGTATATGGTCTCTTCCAGTGCAGCGTTGACCTAGACGCAACTTCTTGCTCCTCGTGCGTATCACGTGCCATAGCACTGGTGGGAAACACATGTCCAAACTCGTACTCCGTGTTCTTGCAGATGCAAAGTTGTCTTGTCCGTTACGACAAGAACTCGTTCTTTGGCGTTCAGGACAAAACAGAGATGCTCAAGAAATGTGGACAGCCGATGGGATTCAACGACCAGGATGGGTTGACTAGGGTCGCTGACGTCATGGGCTCTTTGAGTTCTGGAAGTGGACCCGACAGGACTGGAGGGAACGGGGATGTTCGTGGTGTGGCTCAGTGCATGGGTGATCTAAGTTCAGCACAGTGTCAAGATTGCTTGACTGATGCAATCGGACGGCTGAGATCTGATTGTGGTATGTCCCAGGGAGGATACGTTTACTTGTCCAAGTGTTACGCGCGTTTTAGCTACGGTGGTAGTCACGCACGTCCGATTCCAAACACAAACTTTGGTCAGCTTTCTTTAACTTTAAAACTTTAAAGTAATATTGACAAAAAGAGAGTAGTATTGATAAAAAGTCGTAATCACACAAGAAGAAGAAGATAAAAACCAAAACTTATAATGTAGCCATAGATGGCAACCTCTCTATAGTTAAGTACTAAATTGTAGTAATTATTTGGATGATAGACTTAAAAAAAAAAATTTAGAGGTGATAAATAGTCTTGATATTTAGTTATTTAATTAAGTTTAATTAGCAGGAGAAGACAAAGACGATAAAGATAATGACGGAATCGGGAAAACATTGGCGATAATAATAGGGATCATCACCTTAGTTATCTTGCTCGTTGTGTTTCTCGCTTTTATTGGAAAGCAATTGAGAAAACTACAAGGTATTTTTCTCTATTTAATTTATCTATTTTTCTTTTCTGTCAATAACTAAATTTAAATTATTACTATGTCTATGAATTTGCAGACGAGAAATGTTGTAAATGAAAGGTAAAAGTGGGAAAGAGATCAATCAACAACTCTAGTCGAGCCGTGTAATGCTATAGTTGTAGTTATATTGTATTTTGCAGTTGAATTTTGTATTATTATCAGCTTCTACAGCCAAAACAATTTAAATGGAAAATAATTAACAAAACGTCCTTCTTATCTTGTATTTGGATATGGACGTAGCAGCATTCGATTTGGTATCTAAATATCATTTTAGTCTTCTTTATTATAACACATGTGCGCGTAAGCGCACACACATATGAAATAGGGAATGTGTTTAAAATAAATGAATGTGTCCAGAATGATGGAACATGGTAAACCGAAAATTAGGATGGAGATCGAGAACAAAATCATTTTCCTCGTCCTATTGTGAATGTCTTTACGAATCTTTTCTTCTTATTCGTCATTATTTATCCTCATAATGACTAAGGAATTCAGCTGAATACTTGGCCTAATGTGTGCTTTAATCATTAAAATGGTAAACTAAACTTCAAGCCGCTTATAAAATGTTTTAGGAACTGGACATACCAACCAACGTCTAACTATTTTCCATCTTTTTAATCATCTAAAATTCTAAATCATAGATTGCACATTAACAATGTTCTTCTCTTATGCCTTGATAATAATTAATGATAAATTTAATCTTAAAAATCAGTGTACAAGAGAACAATGTTTTCAAACAATATTCTAATATGATACTGATATACCATTATTATGTTGTTTTATATCAAAACTAGCATGTGTTATAATCAAAGGTTACCTGTGTTACAAAGGTAATTTATTCAAATAATTATTCAGATAAGTATTTTTTATTATTTTAAGGTTTTATATAATAAAAATAGTGATTCATTGATTCTGAGAATATCCGAAAAACTATGATAATCACAATAATTTTATTTAATCTAAAAATACTTAAGATCAATATTTATTTAAATTCATTGATATCTCTATAGATCTATAGAAAACAATGAACAAACATAAAACTCTCAATTTTCATCTACTAATCAAAAACTGAATACAAGAATAAACATATTTATCTGAATAATTATTAAAATATTTCATAAGATATTATATTAGTAATTACCCGATTAGATTGAATGAATAAAAGCACTAGAGCAGCATTAGTGGCAAGCTCTTTCAAGTATTCTTTCCCTATAAAATTAATAAAATAATGAAAACTAAGAGAGAATGTAGAATTGTTCACAAAGTCTGTAAAGAAATTTGTAACATAAATTGAGAGACTTTGAGTACAGGTGCCGTGTTTAGAGTGGTACAATTTTTCTTTTTACTTCAAATTTAAATACTTAATCTAGTTATTTAAATTTATTCTACAATAAAGCTGAGAAACTACAATTCCGTAACCAATCAGTGCAGATGCTCTTAGCATCGGATTTTTTTCTTCGAGTTTCTTATTAATAAAACAAGTTAAAAGAAGGAAAAAAGAGAATCGATCGTTCTAAAAAAAAATTCCGAAACATTTTCTCTACACTCACTTTTTCATTAGTGGTTCAGAATTTTATTATTGGAAAATTTAAATTAAATGTACACTTATCATTTGATAGATGATGATTACTTTAACTTATAAATATAACATTTTTGAAAAAAAAACTCCACCGCTGATGATGCTTTCCCTAAGCAAGTACAGTTTTTGGTTTGTCCAAAAACCACACAAGCAGATAGAGAATCTAATGTAGTGGAGTGATTACGAATGTTGGGCCGACAGCACACATACCTATAATAGGCCTTAGGTAAGCTAACGAAACAGCCCATTGATTATCCACGCTGTGGAAAATGTAGTAATCAAACAAGTGACACTTTGCCTCTACGAAAGGGTCTCGCCTCATCAATTGCTGTATACTTTTCAAAGAAAGAAAATGAGGTGATAAATATCAAACCGTTGCATAAGAAAAGGATCCACACATTTCACATGTGAGTTCACGAAATAAAAGATCCAACACCCATAAAATTCACCCCTCATTATTTTCAGTTAAAAAAAAAATTAATTAAAATCAAATCCAAGAAGGTTGACAAAAAAAAAAAATTAAAATCAAATCCACCGACAGATGGCTACCATCCCAAGAAAGCAAAAAATAAAAATAAAAATAGAAACATAAAAAACACATGAGAAATTAACCGGTCTAACCGGTCGCACCAACTGTGTTACCCGGTGACATAAGCCCCACATGGGTTCTACTTCTAATCAAGGAAAAGCCTTTAAAAACTAGAAAAGAACACCGTCTCCAAAAGTGTGTCTGCACATTACCAAAACGAAACCTTCCCATTGGATTCCCACTACTTTTTTTCTTGTTTTAAATTAAATGTTTTGGCAGAAACAGAGTAATAAAATTGTTTAGTTGTGCTCTTTGTTTTGGTTTGAGATGGAAAGAGATTTTCTTGGTTTGAGCGACAAGCAGTATCTCAGCAATGTTAAACGCGAGGTTGACGATGATCGTGTCGGAGAACGAGGTTTGTGTTCGTGTCTCTCTACCTTATAAAAGCATGTTTACTATAGTCCAAACATGTTGTTTTTAAATAGAATTAAGTTAGCTTCCAACACGTTTTATAAAGATAATTAATAATAATATTTCATCAAAATCATGCATGCAAAATGAGAATAGGATTTTATAAAGATGAGTTATTTTATTTGATGTCAATAATCTTAGGATTGAGCAAGACGGCAGCTAGACAATGGGGAAAGGCAAAGCTCTTGTCTAGTTCAAGTTTCATGCCTGCTTCTGCAGATTTTCAGGTTGGTTACGCTTCTAAGTTTCAGTTCAACTTCTTGAATTTTAACCGGAAAATGGTCGGAAAACATGTCGGAATTTTAATTTTATTTCTTGAGTTAAATTTCTTTATTAAACGAAAAAATGTTATTGTGTGTGGCCAATCATTAATGGACAATTTTTTTAAAAAAATGTTGTGTTGGATAAGTGCGAGTTAAGAGTCGCTATAGCTAGCCGTAAAATTAGAAAAAAATAATAAAAAGATGTGGCGATTGGCGTTTGAGGTTTTAGATAAACCCATATGTCGGCACTTTTTGTATTAAAAAGACATGTGAAAAAATGTAAAGATGTCGACGTTTCAGGCGGGCTCATACCAGTGGGGCCCAGTTTCTGCGGCCAGCAATCTCCGCCGAAGCCAATTTAGCGGTGGTGCGTTTCAGAACGCGAATCCGCTTTTACTTGGCGGTTCAGTTCCGTTACCAAATCATTCTTCTTTCCGTCCTGTCTTTAACTCGTCGGTGGATGCACGGTAACGTAATTTTGACCTTGACTTGCTAATATTTCAAAAAACGAGACCTAACTTGGGTGGCAAGAAATGTTGAGTTATGTTTATTTTTTTTGGTTATGTGGCTTTTTGGAACAGAGTGGCTTCCTCAGGATCACAACCTCAGCTCACTATCTTCTATGGTGGAACTGTTAATGTCTTTAATGATATATCTCCGGATAAGGTATAGTCCAAGTTTTGTAGACCTTAAATAATTTAGTAAAAGATTAGTAATTTTTTTTAATAATTTGATGGCAAATATTCATATATATTAACTCAAAAGACTGTGTAGTCCCAGGCCAATATTTTGCTTATCTATGTTCCCATTGCCGGCTCTTTATTACAATTTACACATACCATGTTTCTGATAGTGTGGTCTATGTGATTAGGCCCAAGCTATTCTGGTATGTGCCCGGAACGGTTTGAAAGGAGAAACTGGAGAGAGCAGCTTGAAGAAACCGGTTCGAGAAACTGAAAGAGTTCATGGAAAAGAAATCCATAACGCTGCGGCATCATCATGCTCTGCCACTTATGCTGATAGTTTCTCTAGGTGTAGAGGCAGACCTGTTGGTGCGACTAATGCAATGAGCATGATTGAATCATTCAACGCAGCAGGTCCGCGAAATATGATTCCTTCAGGTATATATGCATTCAAATTTTGATCACATAAATCATGTCTAATTGTTAAAAATGGAGTTCTAATGCACTTCTAAATTAAAACCAATTGACAATAAATATAATCCTAAATTTTTTTCATATTAGTTCATTAATCCTCCGACTACCAATGGTAGACTTTTATTTACTAACACTAATATAAATTATCAGTTCCTCAAGCTCGTAAAGCATCATTGGCTCGGTTCTTGGAGAAGCGCAAAGAGAGGTTTGATTCGTCTAGTCTTTATAGAATCTTGAGTTCTTTGATCTAGTGACTAGAGGTTGAATCTAAAAAGAATTGATGTTGGTTGCAGGATCATGAGTGCACTGCCATACAAGAAGATGCTTCTTGATTTGTCGACCGGAGAATCCAGTGGAATGAGTTACTCTGCTGCTTCTCATACCTAAAGCCTCTCTGGGGTTCTTTTACGATGGTAACTTGTACTATAATCAATAAATTATTATTATAGCTACCATTTATTATTTTGCGAGCAGGAGGAGGCGTCAGGGGTCTGTATTTGAGCATTGTTGTAATGGTTAAGTTTGTTATTGTAGGATCATTTTATTATTTCAAACACTAACGTATAATATATATATTTGTCATGTTTGTCAAGAATATAAGACCTAAATAAAAGCCACTATTGTTATTAATATTATTTTACTATCTCAAGTAACGCAGTTTTTGCTATTGATTATACGAATACGTTTCATCATCAAATGCTACTAAAATGGAACATCAGGTTCAATAAAAAAATAAACTCTCTAAGCACCTTGAAGAGAACTTGGTGAACCATCATCCAGTATTGTTATTATAGTTAACTTATAAGAAACATAAAATGATAATTTCATACAACCGAACACAAAATAAAGAAATATTCAGAAGGAAATAATGTGTTATGGTGGGATCTTCTAAAGGAAGTGCGTTTTAATTCACATTCAATCTTAAAAAAGACACCAAAGAAGATTGTAAGTGAGTGAACCAGAGTAGCTCCTAGGTTGAATAGGATGTATTGATTCTGTTCACAATCAAAAGATCTCATAGATATTTTATTTATTGAGGCAGAAGAAATCTCGTAGGAAAGTATTATTTGGGAAGAAAGAAAGGTTGGTGAGGAGAAGGAAGCAAAGAGATTAAAATGTAAACTGATCACAGAAAACACGTTCCCGTTCATAAGTGGATAAGAACGACCCTAGTCTTATCATTTTACACCTCTCTATGTCTCATTCTTTTAATCTTCTTGTCTTTTCATGCCCCCACCAAGTTGCGCGATTTGAACTACCACTTTATTGATCTCAAGTTTATGGTCTGGGCTAATATTAGAAGGGTTTGTGTTTTAGATAGTTCCATGGATTTATGATCACTAACCCACTTTTTTTTTTGGCATGAGATCACTAACATACTTCTCACATATCCTTGATTCTCTATTTAAAAAAAAAAGAAACTATTTTACCTTGCGGAATCTTAAATTTTGGGGTTTGAAACATTTTTTAAAAATCTTAGTACAACAATTTGTTTTTAAATAATTTAGGAGTTTATACATATATAAAGAACTTACAAAAATTTAGGAAACAAAACAAATGTTTCATTGGACTGTACTCATATCCGGTTAACGTCAGTGGCGGACCCACAGAAGAAGATGGGGTGTCACCTGACACCCCTTAAATCTCTAAAACTATTAATTTGTTCAATTGAACATACGAGAATCGGTGGTTCTGTTGGTAAAGTGTTCCTTCTGACCCCCCTAAACCAGGGTTCGAAACCACCTGCTGACACACCTTTATTCATTTATTTTTTAAGATATTTAATCTGACCCAGGTAAAATTTATTCCTGGGTCCGCCACTGGTTAACGTATTGTTTGAGAACCTAGCATGTCTTTATTAAAATTTGTAACGGTTAGGACTTACGAGTAAACAAAATATCCTTTACTTCTTCTAACTCTACTAAGAAATATATGGATATCAATAGAACTTTAGAGTTAAAAATAGTGTCATTTAAGAAACAGTATATCCGTTGTCTGAGTTATTTTAGGCATTTTAATTAATATAAAACTGAACATGTATTATCTCTCAAAAGTTTTTTTTTAGGTTTAAGAACTTGTATTACCTCTTTTGTCAATAAAAAACTTGCATTATCTCTACATCTTGTGTGAACATATTGTTTAAAGCTTTGTGGGAAAATGTCGTTCTCAACACACCCCAACACAACACAAGAATACAAAAACTAAACATCAATATCTCCAATCAACATTTAAAATAATTTAATATAAAACATGTCTTTAGATTCAACATTTTTTGGAATAAACCCTGGATTTATTTTTTTTCCATTTACGGATTGTGGTTCGAAATGATATGTGTATCACTTTCATCGAACCATTGGATATAATCATATAAATAATAGGTCTGCATCACTTCTTTCTGAGATATAAATTTTCAATTTTAATTTAGATCCCGGGGCCATCCTGAAATATACTGTATCTTATACTAAAAACACTTATTTTGATTTACACATTAATCTTAAATAATCTATAGTTATTTCTTGAAAGAATAAACTATGATTCTCAAGCTTTACAATTGTTTTAAAGACATAAAAATTGGAGTTTTTTTCAATACTTTTTATCTCAGAACTCCACCACGTCCTGTTTTGCTTCCACTGTTTGTCTTCAAGTTCGAACCAAACGAACCTCAACACAACACAACACAACACAACACAACACAACACAACACAAGGATACAAAGACTGAACATCAATGTCTCCAATCAACATTTTAAAATAATTTAACCAGAAACATATGTCTTTTGTTTCGATTCTTTTTTTTTTTGGAAGAAACCATGAATTTGTTTCTCTCTTTTACGGAATGTTGTTCCATTTTTTTTTTCAAAAATAAAAATGTGGTTCCAAATGATACGTGTATCACTTTTTGTTTTCATCGATCCATTGGTTATAATCATATACTAATAGATTCTTTACTTTTGATGTCAAAAAATCATATAAATAAAAGGCCTGCATTTCTTCTTTCTGAGATATAAACTTCAATTTTAGATTCAGGGGCCATCCTCAAATATATTTGATCTTATAACAAAAATACTCATTTTGATCACCACAACAATCTTAGATAAACTATAATTATCAAGCTCTATAATTAGTTCAAAGACAAAAAAATATTAAGTTTTTTCTATAGTTTGAAAACTTACATATGATATTATTAATTTAACTTTTGAACATATATTTCACCAGTCGAATTTTATTTTATTTATTTTTGTCAAATTATTATTATTTTTATTCTTGCAGATTGTATCTCATTTGAAATATTTCCGGTTGATTTTTTCGTAGTTTTAAAAACTGTACAATCAAATAATAATTTTAATATTATATGTATTTGAAATTTGTATGGATAAAACTCATTATTGGAAATACTCTTAGCATACTGCCCAAATCTGAAGGGTAGCATGACCCAAGAACATGCAATGTAAATCATTTGGATGATTCAAATCATAAAAGTACACAGTGTGGAATGCCTTTTCTCCAAAAAAAAAAAAAGTACACAGTGTGAACCATGCACGATCGAGAAAATGTAGCTACATTGAAAACGGAGGGGGTGATATAATTCTACATTGAAAATCAACTGCAGACGCAGTAATGATAATTGCATAAAATATATGATTCTGATATATACGTATTTTTGATTATCAATAAAATTAAAAATTGGAAAATTGAAAACATCACTTAAAATGAACATATTTAGCTAATTTATTAAATACTAGGATAAGACCCGCGCCTTGCGCGGGATGAAGTTATTATTTTTAATATGTTTTTAAAAATAAAACAATAGTTCGGTTTCATTCGGATTAGAGGTGTTCAATCCGGATATCGGGTTTCGGTTCGGCTCGATTTTTTGGTATTTCGATCAGTAAAATATAACTACTATTCTAAATCTATATGTACTTCAGTTTGATTTGATTTATATACCATCGGTTTTCAGTTTATTCAATTTTATACCAAAAATATAATTATTTAGTTTGAGATCATATTATATATTATACAAATATATAATCTGATCATATTTAGAGTCATATTGTCACAGAGTCATTTATTAAAAAATATTATATATTTAAATAAAAGAATAAAAAACAAAAAAAAGCTTCTATCATCTAATAAAATGATCAAATCTAGAATTAATATCAAAACACTAAATTTTGAAAATAAAAATACAAAACAAAACAGAAGCATGAAAGAAAAGTTTTTATATTCTTCCATATTTAGTGTTCATCAAACCAATATGTCTTCGATTGAACACAACTCTGTTTGTTTAAAGATAAAAAAAAAGGTTGTAAAGAATTTCAATTAATTGTTGTCCATCAAATTTATAATCTTTACTTCAATTTAGTTACTGTTAAAAAAGCAAAAGATCAAAATAAGAAGTCTTAGTTGTAATAAATTGTTAGCTATTTACAAATTATAATTATAGTTCAACTCATGTAACAAATAGATATTCATGCGTCGTTATAAATATATACAAATTTACATGTTCCAGTTTAATCGATTATAAATCAAACCATATTCAAATCCTATGGTTTTTATAAAATCACATCCATTCAATTTGTATGGTATATACAAAAAATAACCATATTATCGATTGTTAATATATTTTAAAAATATAAAATTAAAAAAGAACTAAGATATTTAAATCATTGATAACAAAAAAATTCAATGTGAAAAATTTAATAAGTTTATAATTTATAAATGTTCTTGAAAATTTATTGAAAATTTTGAAATTAAAATATTTATGTAATCTTATATGGTATATAGTTTAATTTGTATATATATATTTGTTTTATTATTGAATGATACTTTTTACTTATATGGTTTTAAAATCATGTATATCTTTTTATAATAAAATGTTAAATTATTGATCATTAATTTTTAACATAATAATTTTAATAGTTTCGTTATTTATTCTCGTTTCTTAAAATTCAAAATATAACCTATACGAAAAAATCTAAAGTTTGATTTTATAGCTAATTTGATTGTTTAATTTATTTTAATAATATAAAATTAAATAAAAATGATAGAGGATATATAAACTGTTATCAAATACTCCCTCCGTTTCAATTTAATTGTCATTCTAGAGTTTTGCACACATATTAAGAAAACAATTAATTTTACATATTTTCAAAATAAAAACACAATTATCTATACACCTAACTACTTTTCAACCAATGAAAAAATAGAATAATATTTAAAATCAATAAATTTTGCATTGAAATTATAAAACGACACTTATTTTGAAACGAAAATTTTACTCTAAAATGACATATAATTTGAAACGGAGAGAGTATTTATTATTAGAATCATTAAGTGTCATATATATATATTAGTCATTTATGGTAATTCCGTAGGTTTTATTTATGGAAATAAAATAAAATAGAAATTATATCTTAGGAAACAATCATTAAGTGTCATATATATATATTAGTCATTTATGGTAATTCCGTAGGTTTTATTTATGGAAAGAAAATAGCATATCATATCATTATATCATATAGTTTGACTAACTAATGTATCTAGCAACCTATAAAAATCCAATGTGGACTTACTTATTTTTCAATTGAATCTAATTGACAACCTAATTGAATGACACATATGC